TGATGAAAGCCAAAAGGGGGAAAAGAAAGGCAAACTCGATTGTTGACAAGTTCTCCATCCATCTTCATGTTGAGGTATATCATCAGTCTCAGTTCCTTGTTTTGTAGATATTTCTAGTTCGTTTTTTTTTTTAAAAACACTTTGGTTCTCTCTCTCTCTCTGTTTTTTTTTTTCCTGATTGCCACTTCTTTATTTTACTGAGTTTGCTTAGGTTTGTCATTCATAAAAAAGGGGGAATATTGTTAACCTTAAGTTTTGATGATGACTCAAAGAACCTAAGCAAACCCATATTAGTTTAACTTTCGCTTTTAGCTTTGATTAATGACAGGTTTGTGCTATGAAATTCTTGAGAAAGAAGGGAGCATAGAACAAGATCAAAGCCAGTTATGGGAGGATAAAGAAGTCAATCACAAGTCATGTTCCTTCGGTGAGGAATTGAAGCTCCAGAGTTGAAACTTCGAAGGCAAGTTCCTTAAGCAAGGAACTGAAGCTTCAGAGACGAAGCTTCTCAGAGTGTCAAGGAGTCTAATGTATTTTATTTTTACTTTAGGCTACTTGTAATTATGTTAAGTACAATAATTATTGATAAGATTTAAGTGGATTTAATTTTATTTGATAAAGATTTTATTTGATAAAGATTTTATTTTCCATATTTAACTGATTTAATTTTGAAAATATCTTTTAAGTTAAAATATCTTTTGTAAAAAGATTTTCTGTTTTAATTTTATCTTATTCTTTGGAAAATCTGTTTTGGAAAATATTCTCTTAAGCGTGCGTTTTACTTGTCAAAATAAGTTGAGATAATTTAGGAAGCAGTAAAACCACTTCCTAGTATTTCGGTTTACTTGCTACCCAAGATCCCACTCCTTACACTTCCTAGTTTTAAGGGAGTTGTGGGTGGCTGAGTGGTGATTAAGGCAACGATTATTTCAACTTCCTCATTTTCCTATAAATAGCTTCGATTTTCTGTTGAGAAATATACACTTGAGCATTACAGTCTTTTAGCTTTCATAAGAGTCATAATCCACTTAAGTCCTTGAGTGTCTTTGTACTTAGCAATTTAGAGCTTAATCTTGAATTGTATTGGGATAGAGTTTAGGGAAACTCTAAGAGTGTTTATTGCTTTGAGTGAAGCAAGGAGAAAGAGAGAGTTAGAGAGATCGACTGATTGAGGGATCAGTTGAAGGGAGCTTAAGTTCGTTGAGGAACTTGAGTTTAGAGTCTTAATTTGTAATAGGTTGTTTGCCCTATTATTATTAAGAGTTGAGTTTAAAATCCCTTGTGGTCGTGGTTTTTCTTCTTGATTAGGGACAAGAAGTTTTCCACGTAAAATATCTCTTTGCACTTTTAGTTTTTGTTTGAGTTCCTTTATAAATTCCGCAAAAATTACCCTAATTCCTCTACAATACAATTCACCCCCCTCTTGTATTGTTCATTCGAGTCAACACTCACTCTCTTATTGATCTTAGTTTTAATACCTACTTTTATTATCATTGTCATTGTTGTAATAATTTCTTTGAATTATTCTTATACTCCCTTCGTCCCAAATTACTCTTAACGATTTGACATTTTGCACTATTCACACATCTCACTTTGACCATCTTTTTTAGCTATTATATGAAAGTCAATGTAGTCATGTAAGATGTTGTTGGGTCAATTTTAATGTATAATTTCCTAATATAAACTTTTTATAACTTATATAATTATTTACTAAAAGAAGTTATAGGTCGGGTTATTTTCGGGTCGGGTCAACTTTGGGTCGGGTGATCTCGGGTCGGGTCGTTTCGGGTTGGGTTATTTCGGTTTTCGGGTCAAGGTCGGGTTAGTTCCACTTCGAGTCGGGTATGGTTAATTCGGGTTTTGGGTCAATTTCGGGTCCTGGGTCGGGTTATTCGGGTTGGGCCATCGGGTCTGAGTCAGGATTGCCAGGTCTATATATCATAGGATCATATATTGTTTTTCGGAACCGTACATGACCACTGGTTGTCAGGCCGGTCAACCCCATTCCAATTTATATGTTTCAAGTCCAAATCAGTCAAGACTCAAGGCCCAATTACAGCATACGCAATCACACTTTTAACAATTATAGGAAGTTAGTTATTTAACTAACCAAAAAAGTGTAACGAACTCTTGTTGATTCACCACTATATAAACCGATTTCTTGATTACTTACATTTTATTTGGGTTGACAATCATTTTTACTCTGCTTAATCTTGTTAACCTCTCTCTGTTTCCTCTGTTTTTCGACTTACTACCATGGCAGAACCTTCACAACAAAACCCAGAAAAAATCTTTAACTTCAAGATAACCCCATTAAAGAAGTTTAGACTAGCAATTGATGCACTTTGTGAACGTGATTTCAATCCTATTGGATTTGGAGTGATTGAAGTAGATGAAGATGGAGTTGAGTTTACGGCTTGAAACGTCGATACGAATGATGCTGGTTATCTACTGCGTTGCAGGATTTCCTATATATCAGTAAATGTAAAGACAGATAAATGAGGGTTAATTTCAGAAAAAATTCCCAGATTATCACTGTTGCAGAAAGTTCTAATGATGACTCGATTACCATCTTTCATATTGAGGGTTCTAATAAACTCACCTTCAGTTTTGGTAAGTTCTTTATATTCAAGATTTCTTATACGAAGTATTAGTTAATGTAGTACAACTTTTATGAATGAATTTACTAATTTTTTTGTAGGTTGTTTAATAATTTCTTAAGCGTTTAGCGTTCTTTTTCTCTGTTCAATCCTGTATGGTTGTTATTTGCATTCTGTAGTTGTATGTCTTTTTTGATGCAACGCTTTTCGATACAAATTCCGCTTAGTATAACTTAGTTTTCATGGATGTTATTGAATTCTGTGACGATGATGTTGAAGTTTAACATTGAGGTTCTTAATCCTGATAATCAGTTTTACAAAAAATATTTCAGGAAATATCTTTATTTACATTTTACTTGTTGATAATCTTTTTTTCTTAACTTAATCTTTTACCATCTCTCTGTTTTCGACTTAAAGCCGTTGCTGCTGCGTTTTGGAAACGAGATTTCAAACTTGTTGCATGTGGAGTGACTGAACTGATTAAAAATAGAGCAGATTTTACGGCTCTAAACGTCGATCCTCAAGATGCTGGCTATCTCTGCCTCAATTCATAATCCAGCCCAATAGGTGTATTACCATCTATTTTAAGACAAGTATATGGAAGGATACAGAAGTCTAGCAATTTTTGGCAGTCAGTTCCGGATCTTCTGAAATTATTACGGGATTACCTCCAAGGAAAAGAAAGAAAAAAAGGGCGAAAAATCGAAATGCGGAGACCCAGGATTATGATGAGTAAACCAGAAGAGATTGTCTGTTATAGTTTTACACCATTGATTTCTGCGGAAAGTCAGTGCTCTTTCTGTTCCCAGCTTTTGAAGAAACTCCCGGCAGAAATCTTCAGATTTACTATCACTCCGTTAACCAAATTCAGGCTAGCCATTAACACACTATCCGATAGAGAGTTTAATGCATCAGGAAATGGAGTGATACAAGTGAGTACAAGTGAAGTCAAGTTCACAGTTTCGAACATGAATAGCAAAGTTACTGGTTTCAGTTACCATCACAGAGAATAGTTTGAGGGTCTCTATTGGAGTTCCTCCGGATTCTTGGCAATTTGAGGTATAAATTATGTGTAAAACAGACCAACTGATTGAACATGGAAGTGGTATGATCCAATAATTAACAGGTTATGTTATGCACTTTGCAGATGGCTTCGGGACAGAATCACCAGGCACAATTCATATGGCCTCATTTGCAGATGCTGAGGGCTGCTTTACCTACAGCACCAGATTGGCAATGAGTTTTTTTTGTGATGAAGAAGTGAAGATGGTTATGAAGATATTCAGCCTCCAAGAGCTTGGTGATTTAAAGATCATCAGCCCTAACTTTGTGCAGAAACGTATTTAGTTTTGTTAAGTACTTCAAAATTACAGTACACTATTTTTTTTTTTGAGGGAATGTGTGAATTTTAGTTAGCTTACTGAAAATGTGGAAATTACATGTAATTAGCATTATTGCTTACTAAACCATTTGCAGAACATTGTTAAAACATCTTATGTGGCAGTCTTACTACCATGATTCAGTTATGTACTTATATGTTTGATTATTAGCTCATTAGCATGCTGAGGTTCAAAATTTGCAATATGTATGTTGCCATAAATACATACAGGAACTAATAATATTCAGATGCACAAATCAGTAATCGCATCGATCTTTCACAGGACAAGGAATTTTGTAAAACTAAAGGTCTGGTTTACTCCAACTTATAAAGAAAAAAATTAGTTTGAATAAGTTCAATATAAATTAATGATTTAAAAAAAAATATTTAGTAAAATTAATTTTAGTTCAGTATAAATAATTTCAGTACAACAAGTTAAGGTGAAATGAAACAAGATCTTATATGATGTACGGAGTATGTGATTAATACTTGTACAATATATAGCCCTTTGGTAGGAGATCGATGCTTTATGCCTAAAGCATTGGGTGTCATGCTGGTGCCCTACTTCGCCATATAGTCTGCCACCATATTCACTTGGTTCCTTGTAAGGTGTTCAAATCCAACTCTTTCATGACTTGCATGACCAAGTTTTGAACTAAATAATAGTTCAAGTATTAGCATTTGGGGCAAAAAAATTTATCACAAAGTTCTTGATTCATTACAAAAAAATAAAAATATTTATGCACTGGTATTATTCAATAGAACAGTAGTTAAGTTATTGAGTTGCATCATGACAAATTTTTGTTCATAACAGTCACAAACGTGTCTACAATATAAGATAAAGTAAATTGAGGCCAACTTTGGAGTGTTGCACTTAGGTCACTCAAATGGATGGAGGTACATTACCACTCAAATATGGAATTGGAGTTAGATGTGAATTTTCTCACCATCTGCTATAAATTAAGAGTATATACATAAGCAAAATTAAAACAAATGTTCTACTACTATAATAAAACAAGATGTCATGTTTTCGGAACAGTCAACAATCTAACAACATTGCTATCATTAGATCTTGACAGATTTAAGGCATGCTCTAAGTTAGAGATGCGGGTCACTAGTACCCAATCTTTATCTTCATCTTGATACTTTATTTTGAATGTGTTAACCTCGAGTTCTAGTTGGTTGGCAACTTCTTCCTTGAGCTGGTCAATACTGTTACTCAATGAGAAATCAAATCTTACTATATCATCTTTATAAGTGGCCTTCACTGTAAAGTTGCTTGAACTACTTTCATTTTGTTGCAAAGCATCTGACAATGTACACTCATTTGCACCATCCAAATGCTCGTGGGCGCATTGATGATGATCTATATCTCCTAGAGTTTCCATTAAGTTCTCTCTGATGGTTTCCACTGTGTCCGAGGTCAAGTTGCTAACTGTGCCGGGGTTGGATAATACATGATTTGGCAACGTAAGCTGGTGTGCTCCCATTATACACTCCCCAACAGTAATATTCGCCAAATTTTGCTGTGATGAATCACTTCCACATGGTTCTTTATCATTGAACTTCCTCTTCTTTGCATTTTGATGTTGCTTCCCTTTTTTGCTTGATTCAATCTTCGCTTCATTGTAGACCTTGAGACTCCAAATTGTGGACAAGTACGATGAATCATATAATAAGTTAGATCAAGGACAAAATAGAAGACACAAGTACATAATGAGAAGTACTACGCATGTAGTAGTATTTACAATAATGTTACACTAATGGAAGGTGTTGAAGGCATCAAATTAAAGCACATACGTGAGCTAAAACTCTACTGATTACCAAAGAAAATGAAGCAGTTTTCTAGGAAATCATCAGGATGTACATCTCACGTTATTAACAAGTCTATTACAAACAAAAAGAAATGCAAACATACTTCCAATTTTATAGCAGCTTCTTCCAGTGTCATGTTTTTGGACCAGAATGGTTGTAGTAGTGTCTCCAAAGTAATTTCTTTTCCTTTCTTACCCTTGACGTTATTGCTTTGAGGGATCTGATTCTGCTCGTTTTCTGAATCATGATGACTGTTATCACCATTTCCTTGTTCAATTTCTGTAGTCATAATGTCATTTTGATCAGTATGTGAAGCAGGGATACTCTCACCTTCTGGCTGTTTGCGCAGAGATATCAAATTAGAACCAACTCTGCCAGACCTCATACTGAGACTTTCTGCTAAGTTATAAGAGAAGGACCTTTCGCCCTTCCCTCGTTCTCTTTATACTAGTATACGGTTGTGAAACTAAGAAAATAACTAACCATCAAGGTTCTCTGCAGCATCAACCAACAAGTCTCATGTTTGTAGCAGGCCATAGTTCTAGAGTTGCTTCTGGAGTAAGTTCTCTCCCTTGTCTAATAGCATCAGCATCATAACTTTGACAAGTATTGTTGTTATGTCTAAATTCTAAAGCATAATCATTGTTCCAGGCACCAATAAAACTACTTCCACCACGCGAGGATATGTGCTGAAAAATTGGAGCAATCTCATGTGCATTTTCAAAAGTCATGGTGCCAAGTTGTCCATCATTTAGAGCATGTTGATTGTTCACACCGAAAGAATAAGCTCCAGGAAGGTTTGTCATAAATCTGCCATTTCCCAAAGGATTGAACTGATGTTGTGAACATAAAGCAGTATGCTGTAAGTTGTCATCAATTAATTACCTCCAGGATCAACACCTAGTTTTGTTTCTTCAATTCGTCTTTGCTTTCATCCAAGGTATTTATTGATTTCCCAGGATCTGCCTTTTATTTTATACGAGTATTTGTTATGCCTAAAGCAGGTTGAAATGGAGAGGTGTTGTAGGCTGTATGGATTCTTCAAATTTTGAAAAGATTCATCAGAGCAGCTACAGACAACAACGTCCAAGTATTTAAGGTTGATTCAACACTTTGTAATTAATAGGCAGGTGTGTAAGGGAAATACATTTGTTCATTTCTAAAGTTTTCAAGTTGCATAGATTTGTGATGCTAATACTCGTAGGAAAGAGAACTTAATGTTATCGCAACAACCAAGCTTCATTGTAGACCTCGATACTGCAAATTGTGATCGAGTATATAATTTAAGAAAGACCATAACTACAATCGACAAATATTAATACTTCACTCATATAAAGAAGCTCAACCAGTTTTATAAGAACTCATTTATTCACTTCTCCAAAAATGCTAAATATTTTACTAGCTTATTATCAATGCTAATCATGGTTTGCTGAAAAAATTCATGAAATTAAAAGCAAATAAAATTGTTCTAGGAAAAATTCTCTATTTAAAGTTTCAAAGTTATTAAGGCCCTTTCTCAAATAAAATAGTTCTAGAAAACATACAATGTACTATGCTTCTACTTGTTGCTATACTAAATTACCAAGTACAAGTGTACCACTGCTCTTTCATAAGTTGGCTGCTAATATTAGTATAAAATCATCAACTTGTAGTTGTTACTTGCAAAATGTCAACTAAGGCCTAGGTTACATAGCTTTACTTTACAATTCAAATCTATATATCCTTAACTTTGTCCTTTACCATCATTATTAAAACTAATTATAGACTATCATTATTATTAAAAATAAGAATAAAAAAAGTTAAAACTCCATGTTCTTGAACAATATACAACAGTATATTACTGTGATTTCTTAATGGACCAATGCAAGCTTTGTGCGATGTAAAAATTACAATAAATCCCTACTTTATAAAAAGTAGAATATTGCTCTTATGAATAGTGTTGTGACAATTATAACCCAAAAATGTGTATTTACGCATTTGCCCCCATTTAATATTATAAGATTTTTTATAATATTGTATATCTTCTCTCTGTTATTACGTACTTTTTCATCTTCCCATTCAATCGGTTGAATTATTGGTTTCAAGTTTCAACCACAAAGTCACTAGCAATCATCAAAGGTATTTTTCAATTTTAATTTCAATTGTTTTATAAGGTTTTGATTGATTTTAGATTTTAAGGTATTATCTTTTTTAAATTTTAGGGTCTGGGTAATCAACTATTTTTCCTAAATTTGATTGGATTTTGAAAGAAAAAAATATAGTAGATAATTAAAGTGAATGGAGAACCATAAACACTATAAGCGAGAGAAATATACCAACTTCCAAGCATTACCCCATGGAAGCCCCTCATGTCTCTTTCTATTCTTTCAATATGATCATTTCATGAATATTTGTCAGTGACTTTGTGGTTTGTCCAGTTAAGCGCTACCACAAATCCGATCAAAAGGTACTTTAATTTTTTCCCTATACGATTTTTTAGGATTTTTATTATTGGTTTTGATTTTGGGGATTGTAGAATTTTACAAAGGTCGCTTTCAACATTGCTATTAGATTCGTTGTTATGAGATTCAAAAGACATCTAAATTTCAATTATAATTTTGGGATTAAAAGCGTAAAATGAGAGTCCACAACTTTAAAAGATGCAATTTTTCAAGGTACATGTTTTTTAAAGGGAGTAGAATGCCTTTGTGCTTAGGCTCTGGATGTATATTCTATATTTGAAGGAAAGGAGGTGTGATAGTTCTCTTATCAATCCTAACTTACCTTAAAGGTTTATTGTTACTTGTTAGAATAGAAGATACACACCACTTTTCTAGTGAGATTCTGATATGATGCATCCTAATAATTCTATATGCTCTGCATCAATGAGTATCAGCTTAATGATTTACTGTATTTCTTTGTATTGTTGAGTTGAATTAAGTTGACCTCAAGCTTGCCTGCATTGGATAACTCAGCTCTTCTTACACTGGGTTTAATTACAGAGCATTAAAAAATAAAAAATAAAGCCCCTAGACCAATATACAAAGAGAGGAAAAAAAAAGCTACTCCGTATTTTATTATTTTGGATTTCTACATTGGGTTAGTTCAAGCTACCAAAACTTTATATTAGATGATCATATTAGCCTTAACAACAATACTAAGTATAAATGTACGTTGCATTGGACTTGAGCAAAATTCAAACTCAAAAATAAATTTAACACATAAGAGTCCTAACTACTCATAGGGTACCCAAGAACAAATTGATGCAAAATTTCATTATTCCTCTGTTTGTTTCTCTTTGTTTTTCAGCTTGTAATATGTATCAAAATTTTATTCTATAGAATCATCTAGACTCTATAAGAAAATCATGTAAATGCTATTTTTTACTCTTTAAAATACATAAGAAAAGGTTAAGGATATATGTTTTTGAACTTAATAGTCGATTATTACTCTTTCTAAAGGTTTATTGTATTAATTCTTACCAGTTTCAAGGTATTTAAAGATTGTATAAGACATTTTACGTGAACTATGTACATGCTAAAATCTTTTGTACAAAGACAAGCCTTGATAACTTCTCCACATTGGCTAGCCATGTAGCGCGCATCGCGCGCGTTGGCCACCCTAGTGAAGGATAAAATGACAAAAGTAAGAAAAAATAATTATTTAATAAATTAATTAATTACCAAACCCACTCCCCTAATCCCAGTAATGTAACTAGATTAAGGTCCCTGACCATGTGTCATTAAGACATTAATTGAATAATTAATAATTGTAATAAAAAAATAATAATAAAGCCAAATTTGTTGATGAACTCCATGTTGGTTTTCTGCGCTAATACAACCAAATAAAAAGAAAAGAGTCTGTAAATTTTAATTAAAAAAAACATTCACATGATTAGCAACCGTCCTAACAATTAGAGTGCACATGAAGAAGCCGACCCTTTTGGGTGGATGTGATTCTTCTTCTTTCTATAATTTTAAGCTTAGCTTAGTTAAATTTAATTAAATTAACCTCCCAACCTTTATGCATGCATCTTATTAGCCTACACTATTTTATTACATTAAATTTAAACCAATCAATCACTTTAACCTAAGTTCCTACGCCATAAAAATAAATCACATTTTTTTTTTAATTTTTTAGATTATTGTTCCCAATTTTAACGTTGTAATAAAACCTTCTTGACTAAGCTACATCTAAGCTAATGTGTATGTTATAATATTCGCCTCTCTACACTGTCCTACAATATATAACCTCAAACGTAGACATTGGCCATTAGGTATTATGCATGTAGACCAATAATATCAATCGTATTTGCAATAATAATTAATATGATCTTTATATAGCGAAGAATGCTTTAATGGAAAATCTCATGTCAATGTCTATGAACATAATTTGATTTATCTACACGACCTATTCATCTCTTTGTATGATTTTGCTTTCTAAATCTTCATTATATATCACTTATAGTTTGAGATTTGATTTTTTTTTTTATGGGGGAAAAAAAAGGAAATCATATTGATTGATTGAATCAATATAATGAAGATTTTTTTGAGATGAAATCATGATTTTAGGTACTGTCACAAGATTTTCCTAGTAAAATTACAATTATATATTGTAATAATTAAACTCATTTATCAGCTTTGCTACCAAATGAGTCATTAAGCTTTGCTCACTACCTACCATGCAAGCAAATGAGTCATTAAGCTTTACTCATGACCCACTATCATCCCTAGCTTGTAAAAAGTTTATCATTTGAATTGTAATAAATTCTAAATTTCTAATACCTTTTGATAAATGATTAAAATTTAAAATTAGACTTTAATACTTTATAGCGGCCATAATCTTGTATGTAACAAAGTCTATAAAAGTCCTGTAAAAAAAATAAAAAATAAAAAGTCTATTAAGATCATAGTATCATACCATACAGAGTACTATAACTTTTTACGCCAAGAATTAGTACCTTTGAAAATTAAAAACAATGTAACACCACAATTATACTCTTAACCTCCAAATATTAAATTGAATTATTATTAAGTCGTTTCTTAAGTACTTTAGATTGAATGCTCATCAGCCAATTAAAATACTGTAAATTGAAAGTTGAAATTCGAGTGGTCCCTTACTTTACGTTTTATAAAGGCTTGTTAATGAATAAAATAATAGTTAGTCAAAGTGTATGCTCATCACTAGCTAAAAATATTATAAGATGGAGATGGAGTTGTATATATTATTACCCTTGCAAATAGTAGTCTCTTTAATCGTTTTTGTTCTTTAATTTTGACTTTTTTTAAATCACAAATTGATTGTAAATGAGAATAACAAATAGGGTTAGGGTGTGTTCTATTCACCTGATTTTTACTTATTTGAACTAGTCTGAACTTATTGGATCTATTTAAACTCTTATATGAATTTATTAACCCTTATTAGAACTTATTTTAGCTATAAATTAAACTTGGGTAGCTCTGATTAACCCTTATCACAACATATCTGAACATAATTCCTAAACTTATACTTATCTGAATTTAAAGGTGCGTTCTATTCACCTGATTTTTACTTATCTGATCTTATATGAACTCGTCTGAACTTATTAACCCTTATTAGAACTTATTTTAGTTATAAATTGAACTTGATAACCCTAATTAACCTTATCACAACTTATCTGAACTTATCTTATCGGAACTTATTAATCCTTATCTGAACTTATTAACCCAGAAATAAGTGAAAATAAAGTGAACAGAATATGACCTAACCTTTATCTGAACATATTAACCCTGAAATAAGTGGAAATAAGGTGAACAGAACAGAGCCCAGTGGGAGTAAAAAAATTAAAATATATATTTGTTTTATCTTAAATTATATAATTATTTTAAATATTATTTCATACTTTTAATAAAATAAGTATAAATAAGTTCATTAAAAGGTTTATAATATACTTCGTAAGTTCGGGTCTGTTCTGTTCACCTTATTTTCACTTATTTCAGTCATTTTCACTTATTTCAGGTTTAATAAGTTCAGATAAGTTTAGTGAAGTTCAGATAAGTTCAGATCAGGTTTAATAAGTTCTGATAAGGATTATTCAAGTACAAATTACAACTAAAATAAGTTTTAATAAGGTCTAATAAGTTCAGATAAGTTCAAATAAGTGAAAATCAGGTGAATAGAATACACCCTTTGTATGTTTTGTTATAATGAATGTAAATGTAGAAATATAATATGGAGTATAATTTCATGCAAGTATACGAAGTACGAGATAAGTTGAATTAGACAGGGAGACTTAGAAGTATTAATTAATTTATTCGTTTCTTTCTTGAAGTTAAAGCAATAGTTTTGATGAGTGGGAATAATTCCAAGAATGATTACGTCCAAACAACAAATTATCATGATCATTGTCATCCAACGTAATAAAACGTGATATGCATAATGGTAATACAATTTCAACTTAAAACTCAATTTATTTTCTTTTAATGAGCCATTTTGAACAAGGGCGACTGTACTAAGAAACCATTTTATAGTGCAATTGTCATTTTACTAATTCTAAGAAAATGCAATGTTTGCTTTTTAATATCTAATTCTGTCTTTTTCTCTTGTTAAGTCCTTTTAATGCTTAAAGAGACATTTTATCCTTTTAGGATAATTCCCTTACTTTTTTATTAAGAAAAAGATTATGGCAAAAAACATAAGGTTAAAGTTTTGAACAAATCTACAAAATTGAGAGTAAAAAATCATTCATAATTTTAGTAAATTTTTTATTTTTTTTTATTTTGAATTTTGATTAAGTATAAAATCTATAAAATTAAGAGTAAAAAATTTACAAATTTGAGATAGATATTATTCTGTTAATATGGTTATACCTGTCAAAAAAAAAAATGGTTATAAGAAAATTTTAGTTTAAAGTCCTTTGATTAATTGAAGTATTAATTAATGTAAGCAAAAATGGGCTACTCGATTAATATTGGATCGTTAGGTTGAATTTAATTTGGGAAATTAGATGGTTTTGATAACTAGCTTGATAGGCAGGAAGGTTGTTTAGACCCAATACAAATTAGTTCGAGTATTCGACCCCACACAATCATATCGTAAGCTTGACATGACATGAGAGTAACATCATTTCTAAAACTCAACGATTGAATGACAAGCTAACTTCAATATCTAAAAAATGTTAATATGGCCAACCAACATTTCACAAATTTTGGTTTTTGGCATCTATGCATGAGCCCAACTTTTCCTTGGCCCGTTTAATAACAAGGTGTACTACTTATGACCTTGTTCGTGTTCAATTTAAACTAGTTTTGAGCTGAGTCAATATATAGTAGACCAATCTAGTTAAAAATCATGAATTTGATTTTCTTTAGTTGTGTAAATACATTTTACATATTTTCCTAACAATTATCGAGTCTATTTAATTTGGATATTGAATGCTCGAATCAGTTGGACCAAAATCAAAATTAGAATTGAAAAAAGTCAGTTTTTGACAACCCTACCTTCCCTCCTTCTAAAGGACAAGTGCGTATCAACACCCGAACAAAAGGCGCGTAGCAATACGTGAACACTACTTTGGAAATTGAAATAGCCGGGAAAACAATTCATATGAATTTCTCTTTCTTTCTCCACTTTATGTTCTTCCCTACAAAATAAACTAAAGTGAAGCATAGCGCAGTCAAATCTTATTATCTGCATGTCATTCATTTCATAAACAAACATAAAATATAAAAAACATTGGGTTTTTCTTTTTCATTTCATTCTTATTCAACAAATTATTGAATTCAGTGTTCATCAGATTCTCAGAAAAAACTACTTTTCGGCTGCACAAAAACTACTCAGAGTGTATGTGTGTGAGTTGTTGCAGACATTAAACAATGGAAATAAACCCCGAAAAAAAAAAAAATTAAAAAATTAAAAACAAAAAATTGACCTCCTCTTCACAAAGGCACATGGCTACCTCTTTAGCTTTGGTTTTATTATTACTTAAATTTTCTCTCTCCTACTTACAGATTGGACTTAGTACTACTACATACATACATAATTTATAATTATATTTTTATAATATAATGTTTTATTATTATTAATATTATTATCTTTGTTAATCCTAATATAGTTTTTTCTCTGGTTAATTGACTGATGATTTCAAGACATGTTTATGACAAACTCTCAGATCTAACACAACCCCCCTTATTCATATTCATATTCATATTCATATTCCTATTAAAAGTCTCTTCCTTTTCTTCTTCTTCTTCTTCCATTATTTCACCTGCCAACAATATTATTAATTCTGTTTTTATTTATTATATTATTATTATTGTTATTATTATTACTCTTCCTAAATTCATAAACTTTCTCAGATTTTATTTTGTGTCATCATTTATCCCAATTCCCAGGTTAGATTCTTCTTACTTTTTCTCATCTTATTTAATTCCTTGATTTCTTGGTTTTTATTTTTTTTTCTGGGGTGGTTCAGTACTCATCAATGTCAACATATTTGGCGGGCAATCTTCAATTTTTTTTTTAAATTATATGATTATGTCATGATTCTAGATTCATCTTAAATTTTTGCAGTTTTTTCAGTATCAATCTTGTAATACTTGTTAATTTTGTCAACTTTTTTTCCATTGCTCAATCAATTTTCCATTATTTACATCAAATAATTTGATTAGTTTTCAATAATGGTGGGTTTAAGTTATGCAGTATTTATATGGATTAAACAGTCTGTTTCAATCACTTTGTTGTTTCAGTTTAAGTGGGGTACTTTCATTCCAATTTCCCTTTTTCGTTCTTTTTACAAAAAGGGGAGTAAAGTAAAGCATAAAATAAAATTATAAATATTTACATGAGTTGATGATTATTTTTTATTTCTTAAAGAATGTTTACTATATTGATTGTTATTATACTGCAAGTAGTTTAATTTAATTTGATGAAATTATGTTGTTGTTTGATGTGTTGTGACAGCAGAATTCTGGCTGTTTTGTGTTTATAATTGGATCTTGGTGGATTGAAAAACCCTTTCCTAGGAAAAGAATGATGAAAGACAGTGTATGTTGTTGTAAGAACAGTATTACATTGAATTGAAACAAGGGTTTATAGAATTGTAAAGTAATAGTAGGGATTATTATTATTATGGAGGATCAAATAATAGTGGATGACCATATGGATGTTGAGGAGGCCCTTAATCCGATGTGGCCGGATAATGTAAATGAAGCTGGGAGTCAATTCAATGTGGATTGGCCGCAGGAGGATCAAGATATGTTGAAAGAAGTAGCAATTAACGCGGGGAGCCTCAAGAAATAGATTTGGAGCGTCTCCATGACATGACAGTAGACAGTGATAAGGGTGGCTCTCAACTGGCCTATCTTATGAAGTATTGGGAGTATAAGCAAGAGAATGCTGCTCGTCTCCTCAGAGAAGAGCTTGATCGCCTCGGCAAGCAAAGAGAGGAGGTTGAGCTTAAGAGATTGGAGATTTTAGAGGAACATCGTTTTGAGGAAGAACGAGTTGGGGCTGACAGATATTCTGTTTCTGTGTTGGAGGAGCTCTATGATTCCTACACGATTGTTCCTAAGAAAAAACGCGATTCCCCTGTTGAAAGTAATAAAGGACTTGAAATAGATGCTGAGTATGATACCATTGTGTATTGGAAACAAAGGGCTGTGATCCTTGAGAATTTGCTGAAGGAAAGCAGGCAGAGGGAGCAGATTCTCTTGGAAAAGCTGGACGAAAGCATCAAGAATATGGAGCAACAGTCCACACCGGTGGAAGAATTGTCACAGATGCTTAAAAGAGCAGATAACTTTATTCACTTCATTCTTCAAAATGCACCCATTGTTCTTGGTCATATGGTAAGGCTGGAAATGATATGCTATATCCATTCATTCACTTCTCTCGGACTGCCCTTTCTATGTCTGGGTGAGCAATTGCATTGATGCTTTCATCATGTGCATTTGTTTCAGGATAAAGAGCTGCGCTACCGTTTTATCTACAATCACTACCCAAGTTTTAAAGAGGAGGTAAGACTTTGGTGTGCTTGTAAAATTAGTGCCTTAAAGCTAGCTTCGTCCTCAATAATTCTGCACCCGAGGACTGTGTAATTCTATTTTCCCTTTTGTTTCAAAGCATCTTTCGTAGGAAAACGGTATGGTATTCCTCAACTTACCTGATTTTTTCAGGATATTATAGGGAAAACGGATACAGAGATCTTTTCTGGTGCTGGAGTGAAGGAGTCTCTAAACTTCAAACGAGAAGTCTTAGAACGTGGACTACCCGGAAAGAGAGAGATAACATTTGAAACTGAACTTTTTGGGTCAAAAACCTTTTTGATATATGTGGAGCCTGTGTTTAATAAGGCAGGAGAGACCATTGGTGTCAATTACATTGGAATGGATATTACAGATCAGGTCAGGTCATATTTCAATATTATGCCTTGAAATTTTGGTGGATACAATGCGCAAAAGGCCATTACAAGTAATGTCTGAATAGGGTGTCCATTTTTTAACAGGTCAGAAAAAGAGAGAAGATGGCAAAGCTTCGAGAGGAGATAGCTGTTCAGAAAGCCATGGAGACTGAAATGAATAAGACTATACATATAACAGGTTTGGTTGGATTTTAAGTGATTCATGAGTTATAGCTTCTCTTTGCACATGGAGTTTACTAAAAGATGCTTTCTATCATTTTTTAGAGGAAACTATGCGAGCTAAGCAAATGCTTGCCACTATGTCTCATGAGATACGGTCACCATTATCTGGTGTTGTTAGCATGGCCGAGGTTCTAGCCACCACTAGGCTGGACAAGGAACAACGACAATTGTTAGATGTCATGATTTCTTCAGGGGATTTGGTCCTTCAGCTCATCAATGACATCCTTGATCTCTCCAAGGTTGAGTCAGGTTTGATATTGTTGACCTTGATGTTAATCAGAATCTACAAGGGCTGGTTTAAGTATTTAATTGTATTGACTGCTTTCTGTTATTTATTATTGGGTTATAGGTGTTATGAGACTGGAAGCTACCAAGTTCCGACCAAGAGAAGTTGTAAGGCATGTACTCCAGACAGCTGCAGCATCTTTGAAGAAAATGTTGACGTTGGAAGGATACATAGCAGATGATGTTCCGATAGAGGTGAGATCATTTTCTTACCATGAAATTAGAAATTCAGCTTGTGCTCTGCACATGACATACATTTCAACTCTATGTGCTTATCTAAGTAAAGCTCCTCTCAAAGTGATAAGCTGTTCAGTCTTCACACTATAAACCATCCCTGCAGTTTGTGAGTCTTGATCAGATCATTTGTAAATTTGTGCCAATCTTCTGCAATAGTATTTCTCAAATTTCATAAAGATCCTGGCTTAAACTCAATAATAAAATATAGGAAGATTTTGGATTTATAACTTTGGGCCCTGCAGTGCTTTAATTTTACCATGCTATTTCAGTCCAGGTTTCCTGATGTCAGAAGTTGAATTAATCAATTCAGATATACAACAATAAACACCATGTGGTTTATATAAGCTTCTTACATTGATGCATATGATGTCAATCAACCCACTCACCCTCTCCTAAGCTGTAGCCTTATATAGAGGCATCTGGTTTATATTATTGTTAAATCTGCTGATGCGGATACTTTTGGCTATTTTCAAAACTTTAGAACAATCTCATGTATTTCATGTTTGCATGCAAACCGTCTGACAATACTTTCTTACTGTATCTCTTTCAGGTGATTGGAGATGTTCTTAGAATTCGACAAATTCTCACTAATCTAGTCAGGTATACAGAGAATGCACCTTGCGCTATCTGTCATTTTTTCTCTGTTCAGCATACAGCTTCTCTGGTAGATTAAAATCGTGTCATATTTATGGCTCAAAAGACACATATTTCTAATTTTAATCTGTAATTCTACTGCAGTAATGCCATTAAATTTACGCATGAAGGTAAAGTTGGCATAAGACTTTATGTAGTACCAGCGCCTTATTCTGGAGAAGAAGATCTCCATCCTGTCGAAAGATTCGAAGCCAATGCTGCCACAGATGAAAAAGGTGATTCTGATCATCCATATGGAGATGATCCTTCTGAAGCTCATAAAAATTCGGATGAGTCTGGAACGCCAGTCAAGAGAGGAGAATCACAATCAAAAGATGAAGATAGGCATCCCATTATATTTCCAACAACAGTATGGATACGCTGTGATGTATATGACACTGGAATAGGAATTCCAGGTTTGATTATTAATTCATTTCGTAACCACTTAATGTCAGTTTTCAGTTTCCAGCAGTAGTAGCCAAGGGTGTATCATTAACTCATTATATGTAATATTGACTAGAGCTAGAGCTGTATAATAATTTTGTTTCTTATTTGATCTCGTGTGTGACAGAGCACGCTTTGCCCACTTTATTCAAAAAATATATGCAAGCCAGTGCTGATCATGCTCGTAAGTATGGTGGAACTGGACTAGGCTTGGCCATATGCAAACAACTGGTAAATTTTGCTACTACAGTACATTTATAACTATCTTTCCTTTAAAGTAGTATTCATATTTTCGTGAATCAATTTCAAGCTATTTAATTATTTGGGGAAGCCCTGAAACTGTTACTTTAATCCCACTCCCAATAGTTATAATTCTGATAATTTGCAGATACCCAGAAAATTGTTGATTTGTTTTCTGTGCACAGGTTGAGCTAATGGGTGGACATATGACGCTATCCAGCAAAGAGCATTGTGGATCAACATTCACATTTGTTCTCCCATACAGGGTATCTCCTGAATCCGATGACCAGTCTGATGATCCTGATGAGCTTTCAGATGCTTCTACTCATCATGATGCAACAGCCACTGATGATCATACAGCTGGATTTTTCCAATTCCAGCCTCGGACATTGAGTTCATCTATGTTATCCCTCAGTGGAGAAAGCAGGAGCCAAAATATATTACAAAATAATTACGGATTTAGTATGCCTGACATCAACCCAAATTTAGCTTCATTGTCTCCTACTCATGCCACTCCAAAGGAGTTGGAAACTGAGCAGGGATCACATGAAAGTTCTTCGAGGAACAGTGGTGATAATGCTGCTGCTGAAATAAGTGGTAGAAATGATCAGTATGTTGGAGAGGAAAGGAATATTGGTGAAAACCTAAGATCATTGGATATGGAGGCTGGGTCTAGTGTAAGTGGGGGGCAAGTGGAAAAGACATTACATGACCCTCAAGATGAACACCGGATGATGCAGAATCGTGATACAAGTCTGCAGAGTACTGCAAGCAGCGTGCCTGATGTACAGACACCTGAGAAAAAGCCTAAAATACTCCTTGTAGAAGACAATAAGATCAATGTGGTGGTGACAACATCCATGATGAAACAATTGGGTCACAGAATAGACGTTGTTAATAATGGAATTGAAGCCATTCGTGCTGTTCAAAATCATACTTATGACCTTGTTTTGATGGTAATGTAACTCTGACTTCTTCTAGTTGTGTCTTCTCTTCTAATAGCATTATAAAGATTGCTTTGTCGTACTTTCTTTTTCTCTGTTACCCTTATAAAGTAGGATGTGTTGCTCTATGGATAGATCACATAAAAAAAATTGCACTGTTCCTAATTGCCAATTGGTAGGTAAAGGAAGAAAAAGAACAAGGGCAGAATAAAGAAGAAAATCACAAAAGTAATATGTATTCCCATTCAATAAATAGTATACAAGGAACATACATCTAACAGTATGTTGAATCACATCAAATAGATCTATTCATTATTCTGTTTATTTTAGCATTAGTAGTCATTCTTTTTAAGAAATAGATTATTGTAATATAGCTAGAGAGTAAGTCCAATAATTGCAAAACACAAGTTTTGTTTGATTGACACAAGCAATATCTGCAGGATGTCTGCATGCCAGTGATGGATGGACTTCAAGCTACAAGGATCATTCGATCTTGCGAAGAGTCTGGCAGTTGGGATGCTGCTATGGAGGCAGGAATTGATCAACCTATGCGTTTTCAGGATTCACCAGTGAATTTTCATTATCCACCGAAGAGAATTCCAATTATTGCGGTAAACATTTGCAATTTCAACTTTTCAAGGTCCTTGAAATTGCAATTTAGTATGTTCTGTAGAGTGTAGAGTACATTGCACCATTTTCTCGTAGATCATTGTTGCTAAAAATGAACCTTGTATCATGATTTGCAATAATAGATCTTACCTTTTAGTTAAAGATTTTTCATTTTGAAAAACTCCTGGTAGGCTTATAGCCTCATAGATTTGCTTTATTAACTTTTCACCAAAAACAAATAGATGGACTTAAATATACTGAGAAATGTAAAAGTATGACCTAACTAAGGGTTGTAATGAGTCTATTCTGTTAGCAAGCTACTCGAGCTCAGGCCACTCAGAATTCAGTCAAAGCTCGGCTCTAAACTTAACTGAAATCAGCTGATTGAGCAGAGCTTGAATTTCTAGCATGCACTGGTTCAAATAATGTATTTGTCAAATGAAAATAAAACAGTGACTTGTGATCCTGTGAGTAATAATACGAAGTACATAGTATAGGTCAGATATATGGGTATCATAGGTGGAGTTTTTTCTGAGTCACGAGCCAGCCCAAGTCTGAAGTTTCTGAACTGAAAAATGAATTTGACTCATTTTGAGTTGAGCAAGCTACCCAAATCTCTAGCTCAGTTTTGATCATTGTCTCTCTTATGAAGGACTTGAACCATGCAGTTTTGAGATGAAATCACATATTAGTGCTTTTTGTTGTAATTAGTTGTATTGCAGATAATCATTTTAATTATTTTTGATTTGATGAGTGCAGATGACAGCAAATGCATTATCAGAGAGTGCAGATGAGTGCTTTGAGAATGGTATGGATTCGTTTGTGTCAAAGCCTGTCACACTCCTAAAGTTAAAAGAGTGCCTTCAGCAGTATTTGCCGTGATGTCTTCTTGTATATTCATTCATCTGTACAGAAGTAGAATGTCTTTCTTTTTAGGAAAGTTTTGTAACCAAATGTATCATGTTTTTAGGAATGAGCATCTTTGTAAAAAAATTTTGCCAATTCTTTTACTGGTGGGAAAGAAATAAAAGTTTGCAGCTAAGCTGAATGGGTTGGAAATAAAAGTTTTACCTCTGAAAAGTTTCTTGTTTAGCAATTAATCAAGTAGCCAATAATGTATGCGACTATGCATTAGGATTTAAGGACTAAGGATGAGCCTTGAGGAAATTCCTACTAGCCAAATAATGTTTGTAAGGGAATGAACATCTGATATATCGTGATATTCATTCTTAAGCCCTTTTCTCTTCATCTTAAAACTGCTTTACAATGTTTGGTAAAATCAGATTTAAGTTAACTATAATATCAAAATCTTATCTGTAAACTATGCTCAACAACATACATTAGTTTTGACCAATAAACCAGTTTATTTGTGAAAACCAGTTTCAATCTGTGCAAATCAGTTTGATCAGTTCAAATCAGTCGATATGTTTAAGTTCAGTCTTAAAATGATAAGCAGGCAATAAAACACAAAGCCTTAATGGATTAACTGTACATATTAAAGCGTTTGAAGGAAGGACTTACGAATCCAAAGCCTTCTGCCTTTTAATTAGGTTGAGGCATTATATGTTTTGAGGAATATTTTGCAAGGAAAAGCTTCAGATAGGGGTTTCATTGAAAGCAGCAGCAATGCCCCAATTTGTGCTACCATTTAATAAAAGGTTGCCTAAATACCCTAATTTGTTGTGGGAAACTAGTTTTGATTCATTAAATCCTTCTGTTTTAAGAATCCCTTGATACAGGAAGCCTCTTGAAACCTTACATAAGCCCCTTTGCTTATTAGCTAAATCTGTAAGAATAGGCTGCAACTGTTGAACAGTTAGCTAGCATAGAAGAAAAAATGGCGGTGTAGCTTTGAGTCAAGATAAACACTACAAAGTTCCAAATGATCACAGCAAATCTGTCCAAGCTAATACATCACTCCTGCAAACAAGGGACAACAACCTTTAAAATTAATTAATACTAAATAGTAAATAACTCACATTTTCATTTGCGTAACAATTAAAATTAGAGATGTGAAGTGTATACTAAATTACTAACTTGGATTTACCTTTCTGTAGTACAAGCCTGCAAAATTACAAAATTAACCACTCTTGATCTAGAAGATTAGACAAGGACTAGTGATCAATTTTCGACGACTATGACCTTTTTAGCATAGTTAGTTGCTGAGGTCCTCTTAAGCTAAAGTGCTAAACCAAGTTGAGACGTAATACAGTTTGACTTTTCATTCAAATGTGTGTACATTTCAAATATAGGACAATAACTATGGAAGAGGCTTGATTTTACTTTGCTAGTCAAATGCTTTGATTCTTCCATGGGACCAAATCCAACTCATTTTAAATCTTTCTTTTTGTTGAAAGCGAAAACTGAAACTATATGCAGCTGAAACTGATGGAATATGCAAACCAAAATACACACAATATGAATTTCCTTTTTTTCTATTTTTGACAGCACAAATTGCTATTTCTAGCAAAAAAAATGACATAAGCTCAAAATTAGCTTTACTGATCAACCCTTCTTTGTACCTCCTTAGTAATAGTGATATCTCAATTCTTAAACATCAAAGATTTTTATTTTACCTGTGCCTCTGGTCCAATCTTTGCTATTTTACGGGGTAGAATCATTTTAGATTTAATTGGTAAACTCAGCCAATTTTGAAAGTAAAAGTTGCATAAATCAGGAAGAAGGCAACTGCACTATCATTAACTTTTACGGTCACATTATATAGGAACAGGAGAAATGGCAGTAAAACACTAACAAGAACAATAATCCAAAGCATCCAAATAGACCATTTTATTCATTCACTAAAGAAATGGCTGTAAAAAATTCATGTCATATTGCATAACATGTTTAAAGATGAGGTCATGTACAAAGTCTAAGTATATCCTAGTTAGGCAGATAAGTAAGAACAGAATCGTGTTTACATTAAATAATGATTATACATTTTCATCATACTTTACAAGTTTACATGGTCTCTCCTTGCATACCTAAATGAGCTACATCAGTCTATGCTGTGTATAGGTTTGTGCATCTGAACTCGACTTGAGCCTGTTAATTAGCAGTAACCTTTACATCTTCCAAGTTAACATCTGTTTTCTCTGGCAAAGGAGTTGGTTGTCCTTCATAATTATCTAAACCTCTTTCTGAACTATTCCAATACCTTGAAGGACTATTTGATGGTGTACCGAGAAAATTTTGATCTTGTGTTGTACTTTTTCTGAAAGTATGGGAGCTGAGATTCTTTTGGTCATAAACCCTCATCAATGTTTTAGCTCTAGTCCAAACTGAGGCACTACCATCAGTCCATACATTTCTATGCTCTTTAAGGAAGCCTGACAAGGATACGATGAGAGCAAACAACGCTGCAGCCACTGCAATTGTAAATAAGCCCCAAAAACTGTCAAGACCAAGGCTAGTTGAAGACAATGATGCACTCAAATCTTGGCAATCTGTATCCTTAAACCACTTCTTCTCCAATGCTGTCATTTCTTTTCCCTCTGTTATAGCTAGCACTCTGCGGGAAACATCTGATCCAAGAGGAGAACCTCTGGGAAAAACCTGCGGGCAAGGAGCATAAAAATCAACATTCAAGCAAATGAGAAAGACACATACAGATTAGATAGAGAAGGCGAGTGCAGGCTTACAAATCCAAAGCCATCGGTCTTATATGTTGGTGGAACCATGGTATATCTAGAGCCATATTCTGCAAGAAAAATCTTCACATATGGAAGTTCATCAAATGCTGCTGCAATGCCTCCTTTATGTGTTCCCTTTTTTAAAAGTTCATGCAACTGCTCTGTCGTATTATAGGGCTTTAGGTTTGAGGGACTAAAGTTCATCTCTCTTAGAGAATCCTTAACAAAGGAACCTTCTAGAAACCCTACCACTTCCCCTCCTTTTATCAGCTCCTTAACGTCTTTAATGGTGGGTTGAAGCTGTTCCACTGTCAGCAATGAAGCCAAGTTTGCGGTGTAGCTTTGTATAAGAATGAGCACCACAAAAACCCAAATAATCACCACAAACCTTGTCAGGTTGCTGAACACATTAAAACCTGTAAAGTTGCAGAAAAAAAGACTTCACTTCCTGAAAACTTATTCAGTTCAATATTCAATTTGAAAAACAATTAGTCTTCACAATAAGTTATGATCCAAGCAATATCTTCTTCTAGATGATTTGTAAAGATATAAATTTGTGAATTGTGATGCAAAACATGGGAAGATATACTGACTGTGTGAGAAAACCAGTGTTGAGAAGGAGTAATATAGACTTGTTCCAGCCTGATGCCCTGGTGGTCCCCTGAAATCTTCGTTTATTCGATGTTCAAGCACCCAAACTACAAATGCAATGAATATAAAGGAACAGAAGGTTACAACCCATAAATCCCTGGTCAGGGGTTTTACAAAGAGCCAAGCTCGTATTTTCTGATTGCTTTTCATAGGTACTACCATTACGACACCAGAATCAGTATAAGGCAACGTAAAATCAACAAGCGATGACCTATTTGCTCGGATTGTTATATCTCCTACCACTGCATCAAAATTCTGCAAACAGAATACATCATATATTAGCAAATTATGCTTGCATAATACTCGACCAAACAAAAAAAATGATGAGTCTCAATGATTTAAGGCAATTCCTAAGTCGTATTTTTTCAGAACCATACGAAAGTTGTGCATTACCTTAAGGTAGACTTGAGAAACCAGATTGTCATAGCTACTGGTAGGTTCACCTTCTTTCTCTGTGTAAGGGACATAATTGTATGCTACATAGTATGGCAGTGTTTTCATTACAGCATCAAAAACGTCGATGCAGTATCCTGTAACTTTTGTTTCATTGGTGGCAGGATCTTGAGTGACATTCACAAATTGAGTGAAGCCAAACTTAATTGGAACACCAATTTTTAACCTTTTACCATTTGGTGAAACTACCCAACCTTTGGGAGCAGACTTAGAGCCCCCAGGCCATACGATGGACTCAAGATCAGCCTTTACAAGGGCATGTTTACTGCTGCTTTCTGAAGTCCATAAACTAATTTCCTTCTCTCGACTGCCCCATACATTTATAAGCTGATAAGTTGGACATTGCAGCTGCCCTTCTTCTAGATCAAAACTTCCAACGAATCCCCTAAACCTTGACCTCAGTATCGATTGGAGTAATTCAGGACCAAACAACGAAACTCTTATATCAGAGATATCAGTTGATGAATTGGCAGCATTATTGTCAGCTCTCTGAAATGTGAAGTTAGAAATACCAACTTCTTCCACAGCTTTTGCAAGGGCAATAGTTGCATCATAAGCCCGAAGTCCATCAATGCTCATTCCTACATTTTCAAGGACAGGATTTTCTTGCTGAAATTTCATTTTCCATCTAGTACTAAAATTGTCCAGCTCTTTTGTTCTAGCTACATAAGTTTTCACTCCTAGTACACCCTGCATTGACTGTATTACTAGAGGATCTAAAGACTCCAAGACATCGGCCACTACATTCGTGATGATCCATACATAGTCTTTGCTCATCATACCAAGCTTTGCTGCTTTCAAAAACAGCCGAGATGCCAGAGAAGCTTCCATATGAACTACAAAGACGCGAGGAGACATAGATTTCAGCTTGTACAACTCTAATTCTATCCGATCATTGGAGGCAGAAGATGGAATGACACTCCTATAAGGAATGTTTGTCCCAATCTCTTGCAGTTTATCAGCCAAGAAAGGTATGATCCCACCACCAAATTCATTAGCAACATAGACAGGTACAACTTCTCTCCATCCAAAAGCTTGGATAAGGTCACTGATGGGTTGCACTTGGCAGGAATCATCCTGTGTTGCTCGAATGAAATACGGGTTTTGCGTGGGAGAAAGTGAAGGGCTCGTAGCTGAGTAGGAAACAATTGGAACTCGAGCTTTCTTCCCGAGACTGACAACAAATTGAGCCTCAGGAGAAGTTTCTGGACCTATGATTGCTGTCACTTGGTCATTCTTCAGTAAATCCAATACTGCATTCTCAAAACAGGACTATTGGTATCAAAATTTAAGCTTTAACATCTAAACAATGGCTAATGTTACTTGTAAGTTCATTCATTCATGCCATATCAACTATGATAGGATATCACATACTTCTTCCGTTCTTTTTTACTTGACCCGCTTTGACTTTTATACTATTCACCACTCCTCCTTTGACCGTCTTTTGTGAATAATTTCACTACTAGAATCCGGGCAAATAGCGACAATTTTTCTACGACAGCCAGCAAACTGTCGTAATTTTGTAAGGAAAAACATGTTCATGTTGGAAATTTTTGAATTTGTCTCAAGAAATACTATCATAATATAAGTAACTTTTATAATATTTATTTATGGAGAATTAAAGTTATTAATCGTTGAAGTTTTGCATTGACAAACATGATAAAAGAAACGGGTCAAGTGAAAAAGAACAGAGGAAGTACTTCATATGATACGTACTACACATGTATGTCACACTGTCATGTATCACTAAGTTATGTATTCGTATTCAAAGAAAAATTAATTTTTAGAGGTTATTGTATTCATAGTCTTTCTAGAGGTTATTGTACTGTAAGACTACACAACGCCAAACTTGAATTTTGTTTGTTTACTTGAATTTATTTTGTTTGTTTCGTCAACAAAATTAGACCAAATGGCATAAAATTCTAGTTTTAATATGTGGTTCAACACTCATTCAAGACTTTTCTTCTAGTCAGGTACTGCGAACGTATGTTGTATGTATCTACACATTAATACAGCCACAACTCTTAGCACGCAATGCTTGATTGCGAAATATCCAATTAAACACACCCTTTGGCATTATACACCTCGTCAATTCATATTATATAATACTCTATCACACATTATTGGAAGTTAGCAATTAAATTATTGGAAGTTAGCAATTATGATATTGTCAACTCTTTCATTTAAAAAAAAATAAATGAAAATAAAAAATGGAAAATCGAGTCAACTCTATTAAACATTGTTAGATAGATTGTTCCTCCTCCATCCATTATTGAATGTTAAATTGTTGAAAAAAGGAGATAATTCTAGATAGATTAAGGGAAAAATAAAAAGAAATTGATGTATAAAACCATAACGACAGCATTTAATTAACTTATAATTTTGCTATACAATCTTAAGTTAACTCTAATTTAAAGTATATCTTCCTTCAAAAAAAAAAATTTAAAGTATATCTATACTTATTACTTTCGTATTTATAAATACAAATCATCAACGACATTTGTCTCATCCTCCTTTGATCTCTCACCCCTCCTTTTTTAAAAGCAATCCTATGTATCAAACTCTTTATATATTGCTATTTTCACATTTTCCATGATTTAGTATATTTAATTAGGATAGTTTAACATTCATTTCTCTATATGAAAAAAACATATTCCTCATGACATTTCTATATATGTATAATTTTTATCCCAATTGAATTTTACTTTCAACAGCCCATGCATCACACGGACCTAAAGACTAGTTAGTATATATTAATTGCTCTTACATACATAGTCCTACAAGTTGAATTGCTCATACATATATACATACATACATACATACATACATACATAGTATTAATTGCTCATACATATATAAGAGTTGCGTGTATCATTTCTATAAGATTTATTTATATTAAACTTTGTAGATGAGTAATGAATCCATTATATAATATTACATAATTAGTTTTGTTAGGATTCTTGAAACTAAGCCAGGAGATAGCACTCCCTAGCTTGCTAATCAATTACTTATAAAACATTAATAAAGTCTAAATCATGAACTCAAAAGACCAACCACGGAAAGCTAGTTAATTGAATATAGAAATGATGGATTAATTAATTTAATCAACAAAAATATGCAAGTAGTATTTTATTGCATACGTACCAGCAGACGCGGCCATAACAATATCATGATCTTTGGAGTCTCTAAGATGAAGAACAATCCTGGTCTTGAACTCAGGATGAGCTGCATAGAAATCCAAAATCGCGGTGTTTATGCAGCTCAACCCTATCTTACCCTCCATGCTTTCATTATCTAACACAACACCTACCTTCACTGGCATTGTTTGGGCAGCAGCAAATACTGGCCATTGTGAATTCAAGCTGAGATTGAGTAGATATAAATATGTTATTATTGTAGGTAATAGTGTTTGAGTTAACTTCATTATGGTCATCATAATTTGCCAAACTTGGATTTTGAATATTATTTGTTTTAGATTATGTTACGAAATTCGGGATTTGGTTATATTTATAGTGGCTACGTACGTATGTACTGCCAAATGGGTGCAAAGAAATTGTCATACCAAACATTTATACAAGTATTTTTATATAAGAATAAAATTTTGTGTTTAAGTTTTAGTGGTATATACTTACTCTTAACTTGTATATTCGGTTGATATACTAGTCCTATACTCATATATTCTAGAAATTGGAAACTACCTAGGAATCCTAGGAGTAGAGGTCACAAATTGGTTTCGATCGGTATGCCTTTTTAGTCTAGTTTTGAATCGGTCTAAATTTATTAAACGTGGATCATATATACTACGTACAATTCACCTAAACTGTTCATCATTTTTGCTACTATTTACATACCAATGTTAGTCAATGTAATTCTCAATGATGGTAAATTAGGTTCTCGCCAATTTTTATTTGGGATTATTAATCAAGTTTCATAATGTTTTTTTTTTTTTTTTTTTTTTTTTTTTTTTTTTTAAGTTTAAACCTAAACTGTTCATCATTTGTGCTACTATTTACATACCAATGTTAGTCAATTAAATTATCAATGATGGTAAAATAGGTTCCCGCCAATTTTTATTTGGGATTATTAATCAAGTTTCATAATGTTCTTTTTTTTTTTTTAAAAAAAAAAAAAGTTTACCAAAAAAAAAATTCATGATAATAATTAATAATTTTACTTTAAAAATTAAAAGTAAAGAATCAGGTAAGTAGGAATTTAATTTTAATCACAAAACTAAAACAATCATGTCCCAAGTCCTAAACATAAACAAGTTTACCAAAAAAATATTTTCTTGATCAAAAGACAGCAGCAGGTCAGCAGGTTAAACATTGAAGTCATGTGTTAAGTGTTAACTCTTTTCATACGGTGTCACTTTTTTACTTTGGGGCGAAAGAGTCCTGTACATTTGCTACTCATAACTGTTGTATATCTACTTATCTCTTTACACATACCTAAAGGATTTACACCAATCTTAATAAATTCACATTTTCTAACAATAGGCATTCTTTACCTTTTATACACTCGTGTGTACCTTTAATACTAAGCATATGTCCGTTAGCAGGGCTCAATAGAATTTTCTAGCCTACTTGAATTAATATCCATTTTCTCCGAAGATGGAGTTGATTGTTCTTCATAAATATTGAAGCCTCTTCCTGAATTGTGCCAAAAGCTCGATGGACTTTGTGGAAACGGACTACTTGATGATGTACCAAGAAAATTCTGACCCTGTTGTGGACTGTTCCTAAAAGTATGAGAATTGTGATTCTTTTGGTCATAAACTTTCATCAATGTCCTTATTCTAGTCCAAACTGAGGCACTACCATCAGACCATACGTTTCGATGCTCTTTAAGGAAGCTAGCCAAAGATATGATTAGAGCAAATAATGCAGCAGCCCCCGCGATTGTAAATAAGCCCCAAAAACTGTCAAGACCAAGACTATTTGAAGACAATGACACGCCTAAATCAGGACAATTTGTTTTCTGAAACCATTTGTTTTCAATATCTGTCATTTCTTTTCCCTCAGTTACGTTTAGCACTTGACTCGAGACATCTGATCCAAGAGGGGAGCCTTTGGGGAAAACCTGTGGACAAGAAGCATCAAAATTAAGCATATGATCGCGAACTATATACTGTATATTGACAGAGGATGAGATTGAGGACTTACAAATCCAAACCCATCAGTCTTATATGTTGGCGGTATCATGGTATATTTTGAGCAGTACTCTGCAAGAAAGATCTTAATAAACGGTAGTTCATCAAATGCTGCTGCAATCCCTCCATTTTTAGGCCCCTTGACAAAAAGTTCATGTAACTGATCTGTAGTATTATAGGACTTCAGGTTTGGTAGACTAAAGTTCATTTCTAATAGAGATTGCTTAACAAATGAGCCTTCTTGAAATGCAACACTTTCCCCTGTCTTTATCAATTCGTTAACGTCTCTGATTGTGGGCTGAAGTTGTTCTATTGTCAGCAAGGACGCCAAGTTGGCTGTATAACTTTGTATAAGGATGAGCACTACGAATACCCAAACTATGACTACAAATCGCGTTAGGTTGTTGAACACATTAAAACCTGAATGATTGTAGAAGAAGGAAAAAAAAAAGACGGTCATTTCATAAATATATAACAATTCAAACTACTAGTAAAATACTGGAGTGTGAGATGGAGGAAGAGAAACTAACTGTGTGAGAAAACTAATGTTGAGAAAGAGTAATAGAGACTTGTTCCTGCTTGATGCCCTGGTGGTCCTCTGAAATCTTCGTTTATTCGATGCTCAAGCACCCAAACCACAAACGCAATGAACATGAAGGAACAAAAGGCTGCAACCCACAAATCCCATGTCAAGGGTTTGACAAAAAGCCAGGCTCGAATTTTCTTATTGTTTTTCACAGGTACAACCATTACAACACCAGATTCTGTGTAAGGAAACGTAAAATCTACTAGCAATGACCTTTTTGCTCTAATCGTTACATCGCCTACCACTGCATCATACTTCTGCAAAACAGTATACAACACCATCAGCAGCTTTCTAAGCTTTGTACTATTCTACATCAGAAAAAATGAACACAAAGTACTTGGGATGTAAGTTATTGAAGCAGCTTATGAATAGTGCGCATTACCTTGAGGTAGACTTGAGAAACCAGTTTGTCATAGCTGTTTGTCGGTTGACCTTCTTCCTCCGAGAAAGGGACATAATCATAAGGTACATAATACGGCAATTTTTTCATTACAGCATCAAAGATGTCAATACAGAAGCCTGTAGCTTTTGTTTTTTTGGTGGAAGGATCTCGAGTGACAGTCACAAATTGTAGGAAACCATTCTTGACTGGAACACCAATCTTCAACCTCCTTCCATTTGGTGAAATTTCCCAACCTTTAGGAGCGATAGTAGAGTTTCCCGGCCATACAATTGACTTAAAATCAGCCTTTGTAGCAGTAAACTTACTGTTGGACACTGAAGTCACATTTTTAACAAAACCAGTAGACGACATCCAAAACATGATTTCTTTTCCTGTACTGCCCTGCATATTTATAAGCTCAAAGGCAGAAGATTGTAGCTGTCCATCGTCTAGAACAAAGTTACCGCCAAGTCCCCTGAACTTTGACCTTAGTATCGACTGCAGTAACTGTTGGCCAAAACGCGACACTCCAATATCAGAAATATCAGTAGAAAAATTGGAAGCTGCATTGTTAGTTCTCTGAAATGTGAAGTTTGTAACACCAACTTCTTCCACAGCTTTGGCAAGAGCAATAGTTGCATCATAAGCCCGAAGTCCATGAATGTTCATATTCGCATTAAGAAGGGCAGGATTTTCTCTCTGAAACTTCATTTTCCATTTAAAATTAAAAATCTCTAGCTCCCTTGTTCTTCTTACATAAGTCTTCACTCCCAGAACACCCTGCATCGATTGAATTACTAAAGGATCCAATGACTCCAATACATCAGCCATTGCATTCGTGATGATCCATACATAATCTTCACTCATCATTCCCAACTCTTTTGCTTTTAAAAAAAGCCGCGATCCTAGAGAAGCATCCATGTGAACTACAAACACACGAGGAGACATAGATTTCAATTTGTATAGTTCAGCTTCTATTCGATCACTAGTGGCAGCAGGCTGGATTGCACTTCTATAGGGGATTCGAGTCCCAATTTTCTGCATACCATCAGCCAGAAAAGGTATAATCCCACTACCAAATTCATCAGCAACATAGACAGGTACAACTTCTCTCCATCCAAAAGCTTGGATAAGGTCACTAATGGGTTGTACTTGGTAGGAATCATCTTGAGTTACACGAATGAAATACGGGTTTTGTAAGGGAGAAAGTAAAGGGATTGTATAGGAGTATGAAACAATGGGAACTTGAGCTTTCTTCCCAAGGTTAGCAACAAATTCAGCATCCTCAGATGTTTGTGGCCCGATTATTGCAACAACTTGTTGGTTCTTTAGTAAATCCAAAACTGCATTATTCAAAGTGAAAAGAGGGCTTATTACTTATTAGTAGTGCTTACAACTTAATTTTAATTTCATAGTGTCCTAGACTCCTACTTAACTACTTGTATATCCTAACGAATATTGGTATATTGTGTTTGATAATGAGCCTCACATTGGTACAAAAAAAAAAAAAAAAAACAAAAAAACAAAATAAACTAGGCTTTAGCATCTCATCAATGTAACCATGGCTGATTGGCTACCAAAGTACCAATATAATACACGTAGCTCGTATATTCCTCATAAGCTAAGACGCTAAGTGTTGTACACATATAACATTATATCAATACATATGATGCAACACTCAATTACGTAATATAATCATATTAACTTATTAGATTAGTCTTGATACATATTGTTCAAGATAAACTTTTACACGAAGTTACTCTTATCATCATTACACAATAAAAGATACAATTTTAAGACAATAAATTCTACTCGAGTATTTAAGTGTCAATGTTGCACACGTTAACACATGCCTAGCTAGTCAAAATGACAACATGATGCAATGAAAATTGGGGCTTCCTCCTTATTGGTACACCACCAATGAAGGACTACGTAATTTTGATTTTATTTTATTATAAAGAATAGGGAAAAAAAAAAACCTTGATTTCAATTTTTTCGACCCTTCTTGGCGACTTTTCTTCTAGAATTCTAGTCAATAAGGACGAAACTCTAATCCTTAGATATTCTTCGTCAAGATTGTACACGCATTAATTAGTATTATGTACAATGTACTACTTTAACAGAAAATTACTCGCTATTACCGCCCTTTTGACGCTAAACCGCCAATTAAGGTATCATTTACAAAATTATATATAGAGCTAACGCTAACTTGTGTTACGGAGTAAGGACACAGTCAATAGTACACTATCCCTATAATATATTATGTAGTCAACTCTACTAAACTTTGAATATATTTTCTGTTAATACACTACAATGTAATTAACAAAAAGTCAAAAATACAAAATTTTCTTTTATATTGTAATTAATTAAGAAATATGATTCTAATAGGATAGTTAGCTATTATTGTAAAAACTTTGAAACACAATTAAAAAAAATATAAACAATGAGAATAAATATTGGGAAAAATGGAAACCCCAACCTTTCACCGGTCTTCCCTAAAAAAATCCAATCTTTTAATTATCTCATAAAAATCCAACCATAATATTTGCTTCATTTATGCATTATGTAAGCACTACTATTTATATCAAACTGTAAATTACAGATTTATAGTAGCATCCTTTAATTTCTAACATGTGAAGCTGCATTTATTTCCCGGCAAATAATTAGTCAAATTCCCGGCGAGTTGACTTTTAAAATTTGTACGTATTTAGCTTACCCCTTACTTTTCAATACTGTTCTGTACATACACATATACATTAATACATATAGCTAGTCAACTCCCATTGGACATTGCCAATAATACTCCCTTACCAATCGAGTATTTTAATTTTAATTAAACTAAACATCATGATAAGACCAACTAACAAAACACCAAGATAAAGGCCATTTAACAATGAATATCAATAGAAAAAAAAATATATATATATATATTCTCCATATTTTTCTTCAAATCACAACTTGAAGATAGTATTTAACTGTGTACGTACATATATACATGTAAACATGTACAAACTTCCATGAAAGAAGAGAATTTTAAAAAGGAAAGCATGTGATAATCAACACGAACACCAAGATTAAGATAGAGAGAATCATTTCCCAAATATAAAGAATTACATGACAAGAATTAAATTAAATAAAGAACGAATGAAAAAGTATGTTCATAAAAATAAAAAAAATAAAAAACGAAAAAGTATATTATATAACCTCATGCATAAATGCATATATACGTACCAGCTTCCGTAGACATAAGAATAAGATGGTGGTTGGAGTCTCTAACATGAAGAACAACCTTGGTTTTAAACTCAGGATGAGCATCATAGAAATCCGAAATCGCCATGTTAATGCAGCTCAATCCTATCTTCCCTTCCATGCTTTCCATGTCTAACACAACTCCTATCTTCACTGCTTGGGCATCAGCAAATACCAACCATTGTGGTTTCAAGGAATTGTTGTTTTGAAAGAAGTTGATGATCATTAGATAAAACAAACTTGTTATTACTATTGATATTGTTTCAGTTGATTTATTGTTCTTTGCCATCTTAATAACTTTTCCCCAAAATTGTAGTTTTGGATGAATGAAATTTGTTTCAAATAATTTAATAAGGTGTTAGATGTATTTATAGTGGCTACCACGTATTAAGTACAAGGAAAATGTCAAACGGGATGTGTATTTTTTTATTAATAACTTTTCTTTTGCTTTATTATACAACTCGGTCCCTCTGTGATTTGAAAGCTATATTGATTCAATATAGTCCCTCACTCCGAACTCTTTCCCAATAAATTGCTTAATTAAAAATAAAATAATTTTCTAATTGTGTCGGTTTAAAAATTAATTTCCTGAAATTTTCTTCTTGGAGGTGTATGCACCATGCTTGGTGCATACGGATTTTTAATTTTTTTTTTTTTTTTAAAATAAGGTAGATTGAATATATATAGTTATTTTATAATGAACACACACATATATATATATATATGCTATGTCACTTGGACTCTTCATTTCACCTCACATACCCGTATTAGACGCTCGACACTCGGACATGGATAGTATGACACCCGAACACTTCACTTTTAGTTCAAAATATTGGAATTTTTTTACAAAATAGCCGTATCGGACGTTTGGACATGTACCCGTGTTGGACATGGGTACCCGAGTCCAAGTAACATAGTATACATGTTTCATCCATGTGAGAGTGGTTTGATTCCCACCCCAAGCAAGTGAGATCCCTAATTTTCCCCCTACTTGCAAAGGAATAATCCTTACCTTAAAATAAAATAATAAATTGTATGGATTAATTTGATCTTGTTATATAAACTAGATATCATGCATTGACAACTTTATAATTAGTGTTTATTATGGAGTACAATTACAAGCAATAATAGCGTACTCTCTTATTACGAGTAGTTTCTACGAAATTGAATGACAAATGATACATTATACATCACTATTCTCTCTCTCCTTAGATCTTAATTAGTAGTAAATCGCGAAATAAGAGTCAATTTTGCAACTATTAACCCTAGAATGAATCAACTCCTCAAATTTAATTTATATAAACCCTAATTTCATTTGAAAAACCCCCTTAAGATATTAATCCAACTCAACCAGCAATAGATGAAGACATGAAATACCACAACCTGAAACTCTGCTAATTATACTGAGCATATGCTATAGGCAACAAACATCCAAGCTAAAATCAATCAAATAGTCTTAAAATTTAGGCAACAAACATCCAAGCTAAGATCAATTAAGTTAAATTTAATTAGTCTGTATCATTAATTTGTTTCTCTAAACAAAAAATTTGCAAAGATTATACTACCTCCGTTACATATTATTTGCAACGATTTGACATAAAGTAGAGAGGAAAAATGTCTAATCGTTGCAAATAATATGTAACGGAGGTAGTAGATATCATTAATCTTTGGTCTTGTGTTATTATAAGTTCTCAACAACAACAACAAAAGAAAAAAAAAATATTCAATCTTAGCTTGAAATTGATTACAACCTTATATCGACTAACATACTAGATCGACAATAGGGACAGCTGTGTTTTCCTGGAAGCCATTGGAAGATGCAGTCGCGATGAAATACATGGTTGCAACAAACCAAGATTGTAGTATCTTCAGCCTCACTTGTAGAAATCTTCTCAAGGCAAATGGAGCATATAATATCATCATCAGCATCACCATCACCTATAGATTTTGTGTGTATCAACTCCACGGTTTGTTTTAGCTTCATAAACACCGACGATAATATATCTTTGGAAATCTCCGAACATTTTACATTAGCGTGAAGCATAAGTTCCGAGTAAATAAACGCAAGTACCTCAACATCATCTGGTTCAAGAAATTTATGATATTCAGGAGGTGCAAAAGGGATTGTATCGAAACTTATATTGGTAAAGGGTAACAATGATAAATTCTTTTGATGGTTATCATCTAATCTTTCATCAAAATCATGCTTAGTAATATACCAGTATTAGAACGGAGTTCATACAAAGACCAACAAAAAGGCCCTTTTTCAGATATTACTATGGTCTATCTCTAATTGGATAATAAAAAAATAAAAATAAAAAATACTCCGTACTATCTTATTCAGATATTACTACTCTGTACAATTTATTTTAGGTAACTATAGGATATTATAAGATTCTTTTGTATTCCTTAAATAAATAAATAAATTAATAAAAATCGTACGAGTATATGATTTTGCAGTAACGGTTGGCCAAAACGCAACATTCAAATATCAGAAAAATCGGAAGCTGCATTGTTAGTTATCTGAAATGTGAAGCTTGTAATACCAACTTCAGCAACTGGCATTAGCAATGTTCAGATTATATAGGATTGTTTGCGTCCTGAAACAAAGATTGCAGTACATTGACAAACTTTGATCTGATCATAAAGAAAAAGAGTTTTGATAAAATAACATAAAGGTCAGGAAACAAAAATAGTACAGAAGCATTGTAATTTGATGAGAAGCCAAAAAGAGTTAATTGTCACCCACTACAGGATGTAACCAGTTCGTTGATACATGAGAAATTGAGAATACAGTATAAGTTCCAAATGCAGAAGATACACGTCTAGTAGATTTGTACAACAGTTCGTCGATTAAAAACTACACTAAGTCATTCATCTTTTGAAGCTGGATCCATCCCTGTTGAGGGGCTGTCGGCAAAATACTCCTGGTGCTTCAGGTTCACCCCATACTGTGAAGATGCATCCAAATTACATTAAGTTATATCAGTAATTTCATCATCAAGCAGGAGTAATATAATCAAATGATAAACACGTGTTTAACAGACTAATAAAATAGGGCATGTCTTGAAGCAAAGGTAATTTATTTCAACATTCAAATTAAAATTCAGGATCTCTATCACATGTTCAAAATTTCATCCAAACATGCTGATGAATCTCAAGACTAATGTTACAGAAGAATCAATGCAGGGATTATTAGCAGTCAAGCAAAATACAAGGGCATAGGCAGCCAGAATTAATAAAATTGACAGAAAGTACCCCTGACATAGAGTTAAAGGGTAAAAGAGCAAAGAGAAGAGGAAAGCAACATGACATTGGCTGGATATGAGTCATGACATTTTAACTTGCCAAAAATAACACCATATAGCAGCATATATATGAATATTTTCATATAGGCTTCATTGAGAAACCTTTTGTGCAGAATTAATATCTTTTAAAAATTAAGTCACACAGAAAGTCCTAGTTTATATTTTATGAAAATAAAAATACATACTCCGTATCATATTAGCAATTGTAGCTCATTTCTGCTTGTATGCAACCTATGTGTTCCTTTATGTTGAGATTCTCATCCTCACAAGTATCACGACATTGGACCAACCATATAGCCATATATATATTACATAAATTACAGAAGAAATCCATTATAGGTTGCCTCCATTTCTCCTGAAGTTGTCAGAATTAGTCCTTTTCTTTACTAAACTACCACTTTCTGCTTGCTTTCCAATCCTTTTTGTTTGACATAAACTGCCTTTCTAGTTCCATGAGAAAGGCATAGAAGGTCGTACATTGCGAAATTCCTTCAAATGATCGATAAGTTTCTTTATGTGGAAAGCCGTATTCGATGAAAGTTGTATGTACAGTTTGGAGGAAGATCTTTCATATCACCAAGAACTCTAACCTTATAATCTTTCTTGACCTCACACCCACATTCTTTAATCACTGTAGGGGCAAAGACCGCCAGGTTGCTCCACAGAACACTTTTTCTTTTTATTAATGTTCTTAAGGAAGTAAATAGTAGACTAATTATTAAGATTCGATTGCAAAGGTCACCCGGGCCTGGTCACTTGCCAACCCTTTTTGGAGGGGGCACCCCAAAATGAGGAACCCAAATTGCATGAGCAAGGTCTTAGTAGGAAAATTAAGTAGCTAAGGTCATCCAAACTTGTGATCCTATGAGAATTAGCTATACAAAGAGAAACTACAAGTGAAAGAAATAAACAAAGAGTTGTCCAAAGCATTCTTTGAGAGAGAAAAAAAAAAGAAAAAAAAAAAAAAAAGAAGAATGAAATGCCCAAAGTCCAAGAAAATTGCATCAAACTCCATGCTACTACAACGAATACTCCGTAAAAACTTAATATCAATGATGCTGCATAAACGTCCAGTTGTCTTCAATAAAGACCCTATACCTCCATTGCCTTAAATCAAATGTTATATGATCATCCAAATCCAAATTTCTTACTATCAATTCTTAAGACCATCCATCCAAGTTATCTCCGACATCTCTTGATTACATATAAAACCTCCACAAAACAAAATCTCCACATTCCTTAGCGCGGCATCTTCAAGTAACTACAGTTTATGCTCAAACCAACATTAATATTCTCCCTTATCCTTACATCCAAAATTCCAACTTTCTTACTATCATCCAATTCTATTCTTTAAGGTGATTCCTCAAATCCATCTTAATATACACAATCTTTTGCAACACCCTTTCTAACACGATCCTTCCTAAATTTCACAATCTTTCCCAAACCTCCATAAACAAAAGGCAATAAGACTGAGACTGCAAAATCTTTATTGGTCATAAATTCCACAATCCAGTCAGATAAGTAAATACAATTTGTAAGGTAGGGAATTCAGCAGCCAGTAGCTCATTTCACAACTAGAGTACTACCTCCACATGGGGTTGAACATGTACTTTTAAACTCTTACCTTCATGGTATTGTCGCCTTGGCAGAACATGATTAACTAAATTAAAAAATAATCCCTATCTTCCCTTTTGAGAAAAAAAAAAAGGATGTAAATCCAATATTCTTGACAGCATAGTAAAGCCATGCTTTGAGGGTTCAACAAGAAAGTCAAGTCTTATCGTCTTCAACAAATACCAAATGTCAAGGTTTTTCTTCAAGCTCCGGATCAAATTTCTATCTGATAACAGTGGAAAGTGTTCACCAGAGTCACTTGCTCTATACATGGTTTCTTTTTTCACTCAACAAGTCAGCCACAAACAATAAACTGCTGCCACCAAAACATGAAAAAGAATTCATCCCTACATCTTTTGGAGTTTCCCTAGTATACCTCTTTTGGGATGTCTTGAAGTATTTGGATACTTTCCATGATTATACTATTAAAAAATTTGCTTTTCTATTCAACTCTTGTGCAGGTAAATTGATTGCATTTGCATCTAAATATGATGGGGGATAGAGTTGGTTTTAGACTCCTAGAGAAGGTAAAGCTTCAAGGAGTAAAGGGAGATGAAAGTTCTTAATTTTAATATCATAATAATATATTTCATGTTGATGTAAATATTGGAACCTCCATTATCAGTAAGAAAGTAACCAAAAGTGCTATATTGCAAAAGATGAAATAAATCTCATTGACAATCCACTAAAAGTGCATTAGCATGAAATAACATTCAAGAAAGCCTCTAGTCAAAAAACATGAACTACTAATGCCTCAATCAATCAACCATATGTTGTCCACCCTTTTCCACTGTTAAAATTTGCACAAAATCTATGTTTGAAACTAGAAGACCATAAAAAAAAACTCCATCAAAACTCCACCTATAATATGCAGTGTACACTCACTTATAGTGTAAAGCACGTCTGCCCAAACCATATCAAACACTGATATTTTCTATACACTTAAACATGCCAGGTAGCCATGATCCATCTGTCATCACAGAAACAGAAACCTCCGCTATAACACATAGTAAGGCACTGGATATCACTCTTACCATATGGATACAGAGAAAACCTTAAAGCCAATACCTTCACTATGTCTAGGACAAACACTAAAAAAACTTCTAAGGATAAGAGACTCCTTCAACCAAAGCAATAGAATAGGGCAAGTCTAATGTGCAATTAAGCACATCAACAAGGGTAGAATGTAACTACAAGTTACATAAGAAAGGTCAGCAATAGCAACAACAACAAAGAGCAAAGTATACATACAACAGAATAAATGAAATTATAGTATAGCCATGCAAAATTCTAACAGTTGAACATTGATTCAACTAGATGTTTAGATAGGTCAAAATTAAATTAGCCAAGACTAAAGCTTTTGCAGAGCGGGAGGTCCTGATCCTGTAACCCAGTAAAAGTTAAGCTATTCAAACATTTAGGGATGGAAAAAAAAAAAGCTGTCTACTTAACAAAAAAGGTCAGCTTAACTTGTCAAAATATATTAAACAACTTAGTTCAAGCTATTTAGTAATTGGGTTGAGCTATGAAGGATGATGCCGCATAGTCAAGATGCAATTAAAGTTTGAAATACAATTGCCCCAACTTCTCGCTTAGTGGAAACATAACTCTGCAGTTTTGTTTTTTACAAATTGACCTTCACATTGAAAATCCTGCCCCACTCAGAAGATCTAAGGTTGTTCAAGTATTGAGGACAAAGGCACCTTACAATTCCAAATCTATGGTTAATGGCTCTTCAATTACAGATCAATAAGCGTGATTAAACCTTAACATTATGGTATTATGTATAGCTTTTCTGATTTTTGAAGGCCTATTGAACCCTAAGTGGTGTTAAATATCAAGAAGTACAAGTAATTTAAGAAAAAAATCACAATTTGACTTGAGGAAACATTGCATTCACTTTTAATCTTGAGATAATTTCATGTTTTTAAATCAGTAGAAAAGCAACAAACTTAATTAGGATTTTTTGAGGTATATTTCATTTTGGTTGGATACTTAGGGTTCTATAGGTATATTGACCTTCAATTACTAGATACTGAGATCAATCACATTATTTAAAATCAAGATAGACGTGTTAATTGCAAGATAGCAAGTAAGCAAAGATAATATTTTGTAGAATTTGAGTGACTTATAGCACATGTTTGACTCAAGACCTTATTTACCCTTTTAAAATGCATAAAACTCAAGACCTTTTCAACAAGAAATAAGTCTCAAACATGAAGCTCTACATTCTTATCAAAAGCAATCAATAGGTGCCACTGTGCAAGAGCAATTTAAAATGCAATTACCAATGACTATGAGATTCATTTCTCTTTTCAGCAAGAATTTGTATGTTCGAGTTACTTTGTCGTTTTCTGTTTACACAGCCTAGGATTGTGCATAGAATTTGAGAATAGTATATACTAGTAGTACATATTGAATTAAGTTGATGTCATGTATGAAAGTAAAGAGAGATTAGGTTACACATTGAGTTCTGGATTGTAGTCATATCTAAATATCTAATAAACATAATCCTTTGATGAGCATTCTCCTAGGAAACCTAGGTTCTAAGGGCTCATCATCACAGATTTTAGTTTGTTGACTGAGAAATATTAATAGAATATATTCACATCACAACTGATTCCTAGCTCTTGTCTGAGATCAATGATTAAAATCATTCAAATCAATCAAAATATTTTCACATCTTTTTTCTTTTAATTCTATTAACAAAATACCAAAAAGAAAAGGGTGGAAATTCCATAATACTTACTACAGCTAACATAATGTTTAAAAGTTCATCAGCTGCCGTTTGCCATTAATCCAATTACTCATTAAAAAAAGTCTAACATAAGATGACAGCCTTTTCTGAATACAGAAGTGCCCTACTAATCTCAGATGCAAGACATACCTCTCTTAGAGCTCTTGAAAGGTCCTCCATTGTCAAAACAAGACGCTTTTCCTGTTACAGAATATTAAGATGTAAGAGACAATTATTAATTTTACTCACTGCTATTCCACCAACCATAACCAGTAACCACCGCTTTGGTTGGGAGGGAGCGCGGAAAAAGGGTATGTTAAGGACACAAGCTCATTAGCAAAGAAAACTTAAACACCAGCATACCTTTTGCTGCTTATCTCTTTTGTCTTTGACCACAGATGACTGCCGGGCTTTGCAGTGCCTGCATTTATGTCAAGGCATAAATATTTGTCATCATGGTATTAGAATCAATAGTCAGCCTTCAATAACTAAAGCTTTAACAAGCAATACAACAGATGCAGTGGCACACAGGAATTATTTTGCTTTGTTCTTCAGTTAGGGAACTTCTTTTAATCTTTCAGGATGCTGAGCGCACAAGAAACCCGAAATTGTAAAAAAAGGCTTATTTACATATGGTCATACTGCAATCATATCACGTAGTCATCCGCTAGGGACCTCCTTTAATATTTCAGGATGCTGAGCGCACAAGAAGCCCAAAACTGTAAAAGAGGTTTTTTCATTCGGTCATGCTGCTATTAATCCTATTATATCATCTAGTCATTATAAGCAAACAGGAAGTGTTGTAAACAGGAAGAGGTACACATAAGCAATAAGGGTAATGATTTATACAGTCGCACACTATAAGAATATTTTAAATAAATAATTTTTTTTTATGAAAAAAGCTATAATTGAATGTGTCAACCGCAACATCATCTTTTAGCAATAGGGATAATGATTTTATATGTATACTAATAAACAAGTTAATCTACAAACAATATAGGCAGAATAAAAATAGCAAGAGACATACTGGAAAGCATCGGTAGCAACTTCTGAAATAAACTTCTGAGTAGCAACAGCCACCAGTCTAATCCTGGGGAAAAAAGGGTCAGAAGTATAAATAAATAATGGCAGAGTCAGCAATTTATGCAACAAGAACAAGAGGAGGAGGAAGCAATAAAAATAAGAACATCAAACAGAAAAATACCCACTTCACCTACTTGAATAAAACAAAAAAAAATATCTTACTTTTGCAGGCTTCTCCGTTCTCATATCTCCGTGTATACTCATGCATCTAAGGCTTTTCTAGGTTTCCTACAGTGTAATTTGGTTTCAGTTAGACTCCTAGTCCTTTAGTTTGTCAATGATATTGCCTTCGTTACAATAAATTTTGCTTCAATAATTACATCAATCTACAAATTTATAGTGCAAACAAAAGTTACTTTATATCATCAATGTAATACAGGGGAATGTATGACCCTTAAGGTTTGCAAACCTCATGAAAGAGATTGATTGAAGTACATCATAGATCTCATAAACCTTATTGCACTTACGAAACTCTCTTGTCTCTCAGGTTGCCAACCCTAAGTTTGCCATATATATGGGATAATCCCTACACTGTTAGACTAGTTTTTTTTTTTCCATTGATAAATCTAGCTGAATTCTTAATGTGTAAACGTGTTATAGTCTTGTCTAAAATTAAATCTGTCATCAATGCACATAGAGGAAACAACAATAAGCTCAATTTTCGAGTACCGATCCAAACAGTGAACTTCACACTACACACATATACTGAACTCAAAAAATTTCAACAAAACTTAAAATTTCAAAAATTAGTAATCTAAAAAACAGGCAACTAATGATTGCAGCATAAGGGGAAAAAAAAAATCATCATCTAGCTAAACATGTTAAATTCATCGGAAACAAGAACAATTGCAATATAATCCAAGCTTTCCAATTTAAACAACTCAAATTTGTGCTTCGAAAATTACATAAGCAATATAAATCTGACAATTTAGCAATTATAATTAAAACTTTTGAAAAAAAAATACCTACAATCGAACATCAGGACATTGAAAACCGCTTTTGGCAAGGTAATGCTCCACCAATTCATCAGGAATCTGTTATACAGAATAAACATCAAAGTATTGTCAAAGAATCAATCAGAAATCTTCGCAAAAATAAATAAAAGTTTTGAAATTACGGTAGGAGTGTAATCCATTAGAGATGCGAGAAATTCAGAGAGAGCGGCATCATCATCGTGTTTGCCTTCGCTAGTTTGAGGGCTCTGATTCTGGTTCATCTTCTCTCTCTACACTTCACTGCTACGATTCTGGGTTTTTCAATTTAAGGTTGAGTCGTTAGCGCTTTCTTCAATAATTTCTTCCTTTGCTAATTGTGGTATTTCTATGTTATGTTAATACTCTTCCGTGTTTAAGAAAAAGGGTAGGCTCCCGAGTCCTGACCATCCCGTAAAACACATACATAAAAAGATGGCATTATAACACGAATTATCATAAAAAGAAAAACAAAGTAAGTCTAGGCATCGCATAATAGCATTTAGATATAATTTAATATAAATAAGTGTCAAAGTGCGTGTACTGTTCGTATACCATACCTAAAACACTTTCTTTTAACATAGCACACCAAACTTTAAGATAAGTTAAATTTATTTTCTTATTTATCTAATGTACTCAAACACAACATGGTTAGTAGGCTTGATAGTGGCTCAAATCTATTTAATGCCAAAGAATGCAGACCCTTATGGCCCTATTCAAGGCATTACTCGTTACCATTTCAAACAATAAACATTTCCATCATAATCTCCTAATTCGAAAATTTTCAACTGGGCAAATCATTCATTCATTAGAAATGTATATTTGATAAGGATTTACCTATAGAAATACAAGTTTTTTTTAGAGGACCTATAGAAATACAAGATAGTCATATGTGAGTTGGGATAAATTGACTTTACAAATGAAAAATAGATAAGATTTGAAGGAAACTAAGATCGATGAGATATTAGCATTATAATCTTGGGGGCTATTCCACCTATCATTTATTGATCAAAACAATTGGTGATTCGGTTCTATCCGACGACAATTACAGAAAAAGATGCATACAATCATACAGTGTGAACTATAATAACCACTTAGAGAGCTAGCTTCTTTATATCAAAATATGAACATTTTTGCATTCCAATCACGTCTCACACATGTTACAAATCTTTTTTGCTAATCAAGGGCTTAATAGCTACACTACTGGTAAAATTCTTATAAACATCAACTCAATGTTTGTAACATGTTTCTTAACTGGATAAATGAGAGTTTGATTCCTTACACTGTTACACAAACCTTATGTACGGATGTATCTAGAAATGTACTACGTAATATGAATAAATTAATAATTTAAAGTAGATAAAAACAGATGAATGACATTTTTCAGTGGTTATTGACAACATTTATGTATACATAGGGATAGGTAAGATGAGTTTTGTGTGCACGAATGAATATGTTTAACATGTTGAAATAAAAGGGGCCAAAGAATAGCAACTAGCTAGTTCCAATTGAACTTTTCTTCAATCTCAACATAAGCTTGTTATTTTGTCAATAGGCATATACAGAGTATGAAATTATGTATGTATGTTTGATCAATTTCACCCAAAAGACTAGATAATTGGCCATAAAAAGTGGAAAGAGTAAGAAAAGAGTAATGAATCATTATTCACTGTTAAGCACCATATATTGCTAATATATACGAAAGAACATAAATTGAACCCAAGATATGTGCATATGCAAGCCGTTGCAGCTGGCAAGACCTTGGCTACTTGAAACTCAAAACTAGATTCAGTTTAAATATATTGATTACTGTAACAAAATTTGTATGAGCATTTATTATGCACCTAAACAGATGCAAGGACGAACTACCTAAAGGGACATCACCCAGACACATTACTGCATCTTTCAACGCATTTGATGAATCAATGAGCTCCAGAATTCCCCTCAATGAAGCAAAGACATACTCATAACAATTTCAGCAAGGACTACTCTGACTGGAACGCGTTATAAGCAGATGTACAAAGCTATGTTCTACTTCTTCTGCCCGCCATAGCGTAATATTCCATGAACATCAACGATGCCGGGAGGAAATACAGGATCAGTAGCAGCTCTGACGGCAACCTTTGCAACTGCTGTGACATTAACAGGAGGAGTGAGCAAAGGCCCAACTAGTGGAACTTGAGTCAGTGGTTTTGCATGTTGAAGAACCTACAACACACACAGAAAGACAATATCTCAGGAAAATCTTCCACAACATAGTCCAAAACAATGCTCTAGCTAAGTATAGATTTATCTGCAGCTTATTACAAAGAGAGCAAGAACATGAAAAAGAAAACCTAAATATTAGCAAAGAATGGAAGCAGCATACCATCTCCAATGGAGATCCAATAACACCCAAAGGTAACTTCATGCTACCAACTCGGCGTGTCCCATAAATAAAACCAGGTCTCAAAATAACACCTGACAAAACATTGAAAATCATTATTCATAAAAGATAATTACGAAAAAATTGAGGAATGGCAAGCCAAAGGACTATGAGGGTCAAACAAGATTAGTCAATTTATATGGTTCCCTAAATCATGAGTGAAGCTCGACAAACAACTAAGTCTCTAGATAAGAACAACACTTGATAAGATTGGAATATATACAATCATTTTAGAGTGAAACAGGCTCCACGTCAAACCATGAAAACTGCATACTCTTTGAGTAACCCATAAGATTTAGGTAACAAGCTTTACACACCACAGACAGAAAAGCTCTAGTCATACAGAATCCTTTTCTGGCTCAAAGGCTTCTTGATTGCACATAATTTTTTTCAGGTTAAAAATGCAGCCAAATAATGTTATGCACATTTTATATGTTCTCTAGTATGTTTAGCGTCTGCAAATACCACCAGGAAGTTATATGAAAGCTCACCACCATAAGGAAACTTGGTAAGTAGCTCTGTTTCAGCTGCTCTCTGAAAAATATAAATAAATAAAGAAGCAAAATCTCTAGTCAGATAAGACACTTACGCATTTAAATGCAACTATTAAATCTATGCATGTGCAAACAGAAAGTAGCAAAGCAGCAGTGAAATGCAGGACACGTGTAACAACTCAATGTTAGTAAAATGAATACATGGCTGTATTATGATCATGAAATCACTTAATACTAGTATCAATTAGTTACAAAGTTAGCAATATATGGAAGATAATAACTTCTCATTTACTTTATTCTTTGTAAAATCAATTTCAAACTGAGCTCTATAAATAAAAATGTCATAGAGCATATGCAGCAAAGCACAAGATAAAAATCATAAGCATTTCACGTAAATTCCAGGAAGAAAAAAACAAAAGAAAATGAGCTTCCACAGGAAAGAAAATTGTAGAAAAACAGGGGTGGGATTGGGCAATGAACTGACGACATCTGATACACAGCAACAGAAAGCAAGTACCACCAGAGCACCTACAAGTAAGTTGCTGAAATACGGAAGTAAAAGGTTTGAACCAAAATCAAGATTATGTAAAAGCAAAAACTTCTAGCAAAGAACATAACAGTTGTTTCAGAAAAAAATGCAGATCAGGGGAAACAGTCTAATGTGAAAAAGAACAGCAGGTACTCCAGGCAGAATGCATAAGGATTTATTAATGAGAAATATTTGTGTGCAAAAGAATGCTCAGACACATGCAGTCATGAAGGGACTATGGCAGAGGTTCATTTGAACTTGACAGAGAGCAATACAAATTTAATGCCAAAGTACCTTTCCTTCATAATAACCTTGCAGCAGGTAATTAACCACGCCAAAATCAGCAGCAGAGATGTAAACAAATCTCTTCACACCTGCAAATTGACTATGCTGTCAAATCTAGGTGGGAGACATCCTAAAACAAAAGAATAAACTTCGCAATAGAACAAGCACAAAAAAAATATATATATATAACAAAGAAACACAAGATATAAAAAAGAATATTTGATGCAACAAAAAAAAAAGGATTTCACTCTACTAGATTTCCTATAAGGACTTATTGTACTTGCCTTTCCAAATGGCACAAGTTTCAATGAAACTAATGATTGAGGAAGTGAGTTGAGCACTTGAGCCTCACAGTATATGTGTGTCCATTTGTTAGTTGTCCAATGTTGGATGAGGAGATAATTTACAGCAATAAGATTTGTGTCCACTTGATAGTTGTCCAATGTTGGATGAGAAGTGATAATTAACAGCAATAAGATTGAGAATGCCATTTATTTCTTTTTTTTTAATGGAATTATATTTGAACTAACAAGTGAGCAATGACCTGCCTTCCTTTCTACATCATAGTCTCAACTCTCAAGCATAAGAGAATCTGTAGGTTAAGAAGGCTGATTTATGGCGATTCATATTCCAGGCCTCCTCATAAAGTGCATTTAGTTCAATTACAATGAAGGGTTTTCAGCTTAATTTCAATAATTGTGCTCAATCAGGTTGACAAAGTTCTTAAATCCCTTTACGATGGGATCTGTATCTCCAATACACAATATAACTTCCCAATGTTTACACTGACTAGGGGGGACATAAATCTGGACCTTTCAACACCCTGCTTATGGTGCACATACTGAATGACTGTTCTTGTTGATGTAAGATTAAAGATTTAAAAATCTAATATGAACTTTTTTTTTCTAGCCTACTAAGGCCATGGGACACCAACTACAAGAATTAGGAAAGCTATTGCATGGAATTCCATCAGAGATATCCTTCATGGTCTCATTTATATCCTCTATATGTTTGGTAAAGAGATTATGTTAGTTGTCAAGGATGCAACAAGTTCTTAAAGTCCAATTATAATCAAATGATAACCGAAGACTTAAATCCTATGTTGAACCTTAAATCCATTTTTCTAGGTTTAATACTTAAGTATAAATCTACATGTCTGTAATTAATTTGTCAATAATTATAGTTCGTTTCTTAAAAAAAGAAAGGGGGGAAAAAAGAGCGTAGTGTCAACAACTCAGCCATCAACAATCTCCATGATCAATAAATGTGATTGCAGATTATAAACCAATGTAGAACACGCAGATAGACACGTAAAAATACAGCATAATTTTTATATTTAAAGGTATGAAGTCATAGCCCCTGTAACAAAAAGGTAGATTCTGATGTCTTAGACCTCCATGACACTGAGACATATAAGCTGTTGGAAATTAATACATAGATGTTGCTCGTGATGCATATTTGTTTTTTGTTGTACAAGTTTTACATGATGTCGAGGTATTTAAGTAAAACAACATGAAACGAAAGTAAGGAATGCAATTCAAGGTACCCTGTGGCTTTATGCAACTTGAAACGAGCCTTTGAAGGTGTTGCATGGCCACGCAGCCAAGTCAGGAAGCCAGAAGCAAAGCAGAAGTGCAACAGGGGAACTTGTAGCTGCACATCCGTGCAGTCTGTCCAGAACTTCAACTATGTTTCTGATCTTCGTTGCACGTCTAATGCAATAATGTGAACCACTACATTATTCCTTTTATAATGCTGATTTGTATTCCAGATAGTATCCTTGAAATTCTTAGTATTTAAGTCAACATTGTATCCAATATTTGTATTGTAATAAGATAACCCTATTGTTTCTCTAGTGGGTCAATATAAAATTATTCAAAAGACATTTGATCATGTGCCTACAAGATAAATACGGAGTTCCAGACTCTGATTTCATTTTCAAAATCCTGACCCTCCAAGTGTTCTAAAATAAGCAAGTTCCAGGGTATGTAACAATTTTGTGCCTAAAGTGTTTGACTTACATGGATAGGTTAACATTGTTTCCCAATATTGTATCCAATTTTGTTATATTGCATTAGCCCTATTGTTTCTCTAGTGGGTTGATAATCACTATTAAACTACTAGGAGAACATTTGATCATGTGCCTAGAAAATATATATATCCGGAGTTCTGGAGTCTGGACTCTGATTTCATTTTCAGAATCCTGAACCTCCAAGTGTCTAAAATAGGCAAGTTCCCAGGGACTGAATGAGGATGATGGAGACGAATGAAGCAATGACACAGATACATATGTAGCATAGTTCTGGAATTCAATGTAAATTAAATCATGGTGAATCCATCAATAAACAGTTAAATACTATACCTTTCTCTGCAGCAGCTCTAATAGCATTCATGTTTGCAGTACCATTGACTTTATACATGTGTGAGTTAGACCCAAAGCCACCAACACAGGATATCTGCAAATATCATAGATCTGATTATGGAGTCCAGGCTCTACAGCTAGAGTTGCTAGCAGCTCTTAAAAAAATTCCTACAAAAGTACAAAAAATAGTTTGCACTGTGCAACAAGAACAAAGTGAGACAAATATAATTAAGCAATGGCCTCTAAATGGGAAGAGTAGGTACACGAATATAACAATGAATGGAAAAAAAAAAAAAAAAAACTATATATGTGGAAAAAACTGGCATTTATGTCATCATGTGGACAGTGATTTAAGGATCATAGTTTCCAATAAACAACCTGCAAGAACCCTATCAAAAAAATCTTATGGTTCAAACAAGAAAAAATTGTTTAGGAGACATACAACAGAAGACACTCCATCCAGTGCATCTTTAATTGTTTCAGGTGAAAATAGGTCTCCTGCAACAAGGCAAAAATATAAGACAACATGCATTGAACATTCCCAATAGTACGTAGCCACAAATATGAAACAAACCTTGATGCCAACTCACTCTATCTGCCCAAGCTTCATTAATGGATGACCTTCCAGATCTAAAAGAAGAAGGCACAAGTAACATATCCAAATTATTGATTATGAAGAATCATATACCAACTTATTCATTTTAAAAATGTTGTCAATCAGTAATTGGTTCAGAACTTCAATTACAACCGTTCAAGGAGAATAGAAAACAGCTAAAAGATCTCATGTTAAGCCTCCAGCGACATGCAAAGTTTGTATTGAACACAAAGTCTCTATACGTTCAACTTTAACTACCTCTTCACAAGAGCTAAAAGAAATGCTAAAAGAGCATCACAAACTCTAGCAGCTGAATATAAAGTGGGACACAAATAAAACCAGTAAATCCACTATCTACAGTTGTGATGGAAATGATTATGGAAATACCTGCTCATGCTAGCAACTGACAAGCCATGTTCTAAAGCTTCTTTGCATATGTGAGAACCGACAAATCCATTGCCTCCAAAAACAAGTAGCTTAACCAACGCAACACAATGAATAGAGTCAAAATAAAAAACTCCCTGGTTATAGGCAAAAAGTTGACAACTAAAACGGATTTTTCACTAAATCACAACAAAAACAAAGTACCATGTACATGAAAGTTAAAAGGAGATACCTTTTCAGAAGGGGGAGGAGGAACATTGACTGTTTCGGCTTCCTCAATTCTAGAGCCTCCATTGATCCCTGTAGATTCTGCAGACAGAAATCTACAACTTCTAGACATTGCTAATGTACTGGCAAACCAAAAGATTAAAGTAGGGTCAAGATGCAGGTGAATAAATATCCAAATTAGTTATATCCATATGTACAAAAAAAATGAAAAAACTACCTGCAGCCTAGAAAATCATCAAAAAGAACTCTCTTTTTTTTAAAAAAAAAAAAAAATAGCACCATTAAAGCACATGAGAACAAGTAGATGAGCAGATAACATCTCTTGAGATAAAATAAAAGAAAACTCAACAATGATGTATTTCTCATGCATTTTAGACAGTTTTATTCTCCTATTTGAGACCAGCGATGTTATTGATAATCTTTCCTCAATCTATATTTTAAACTCATCATGTTCACAGAAGTTAAATTTTCCCTTTAATTTGATAACTTTAGACAGCAGTCAAATTTTCCCTTCAATTTGATAACTTTAGACAGCAGTGAGCAAAAAAAAGTATGTTTTATAGGCAAGGTGAGCAATGTGTAATCAAGCTGATATGCAGATAAAATGCAGCGGTAATAGTACTTGCCCCACATATTTATGGTCACTTATGTTTCTCCTTTTAATCGTCTCTTTTAGAGGGGGTGGGAAAGCAAGTCAAATCCAAATGAGATAATGAACTTCCAAGTTCTAAGCCATAAACCTAAAATTAGTTACTCCCTCCATTTCTCTACGATTGAACTAGTTTAGTTTGTCTCTTAGAGTTTTCCCAATATCAATAATGAACATGAGATGCCACCATTTCACTCTCACAATCTCACACATAGTCGTACACTACTTTTGTCCCGCCAACTTTCTCTCTCGTCAACTCCACTCAACTTAACTTCAAAAAGTAACCATACTCCAATGGGGCAATATTAGAGGGACAAAGGGATGCGGGAACTGGCAATATATAAAGCAACAGCTTTAAAACAAAAAATCAAATAGGACACTAGTCCTCAGCTCCTCGCTATGTCTATAACAAATACATAGACCATTGTTCACCCCCATAAGCAAAATTCACAAAATCTATTGCAGATATCTCGAAATAAAATAATTATAGCATTCTCAATAAAAAAGTGTTTGTGTCATTTATTAGAAAACAGGTTCGAAATTGATGTAACTGAACAAGTTGGAAACCTTGTATATGGAAGTTTCTAAATTTTAAACCAATAAACCCTCTAATGAAGCTGAGAAAGTCAGAAAGATATGAAAATGGCTTTGGAATTCTCACGAAGAAGGTTTCCAACTTAGACCACTGACAAGCAAAGCGATGTTCCATCCTAAAACTAAATACTCAATTAGCACTAAGTAGAGTAACACTCTAGGCGAGTAGGCTTATACATGGTAATTCTGTTTCCTCTCCTCCAATGTAGGACAACTCACATGTGAACTATTGAAACCCCTTTGTTGTCCACATGTGAGTTGTCCCACATTAGAGAAAAAGAAGAGAAAATACCACCTAATAAGCTAGAGGAACAACTCCAAATTATTATCACAATTGGTTGGTTTTAGTATAAAACCTCATCTTAGCTTGTAAGTGAATCAAACTCTTCTCTTCCATTTTCTAGGGTTAACAGACACTCACACATATGGTAGAATGTTGAAATTCTTCTGTTGTCCATACATGAGATGTCCCTCATTGAAGAAAAAGGAGAGAAAATATCATCTTATAAGCTAGAGGAACTACTACTATCACCAATTGGTTTTATTGTGAACCTCTTGTGATCAATCACTCCTCGTTTCATCTCTTCTAAAAATTTATCATGAACACATATATAGGGTTCGACAACCTCTAGAACCTTCTCCCCACACTCCTATACATATTCATATACCAACTACGGAAAGGCGAAGGGTCTCGGCCTCAAATGAAGATACCATAACTCCTACCCATAAACCACAAGAATGTGAATTCCCCTTAAACAATTATCCAACACCAAATCAAGAGCTGCATTACAAATTTTTCCCTAGAAAAGAAGAAAAAAAAATGCCAATTTTCACCATTGCCTAAAGGCCCTAATTCGATAAACCGCATAATTTAATACATACAAAAACAAACTAAGTTCATTGAGGAATTTCGTCGAACACTGAGAATGCAATCCAATTACCGAAACATAATACAAATATGAAACATATGACTCAAAGTCGTCACATTTTACAATCAAATATATTAAAATGAAATGATAATCACAGTATGATCAAACAAACAACAATCGCTCAACAACACAAAGCAAAATTAAGCAACTTATTAATGATCAATTTGTTTTAGGTTATGTAATCTACCATTTACAAGAATCAATAATCAGAGAAAGAAACAGATGATCTTACTGCAATTTAGAAAGAGAAGATCGAGCTTGAATTAGACGAGACATGGTGATGAAATTTGCAGGAAATTAAACGTCGTAGCAAAAAAAAAAAAGGAAATTTTTGGGTTAGTTTGCAGGAAAACAGGATGATCTTGTTGGCTTTTTTTTTTTTTTTTTTTTTTGGTTAATTTGCAGGAAACAGGAGTGAGTGTTTGAAGAGAAGGGAAGAAGTTGAGACTCGAACACGTGGCGAATGAAGGTGAAGGCAGGTCTCTTACTAACATGTGGCTCAATGTCATCCTGTGGAAGGGTCCCGGTTTTGGTGTACTTCTAACTCCCATGAGATCATTAGGGCCAATGCACCAACCAGAATCGGACCGGACCGGACAGGATCGAAACCGGCAAAAGATCGGTAATGGTTCATTTTGTAAATCGAAAATTAGATTGTTATTGGTTTTATAATATAGTTATCATTTTTGTTTGTATAGATTTTTAGGGCCTGTTTCGATGTATTGAATTGTGCTAAACTAAACTATACTGACTGAACTATTTGAAGCTGAACTAAACTGAATTGAATTTTTTGTGAGAGAAGGATATTAGAAACTGTATTGAAATTAAACTGAAGAGAACGTGCCCTTAAACATTTTTTTTTCACTATCAATATCTTCATTTACATATTATTACAAAGTTATTACACATGAGACCATTTTTTTTGTACTTCGTATATAACAATGAGAATTATTAGTCACAATTTTAAAAGTTTGACCATAAAATAGAAATGGTAACTTGCACCATAACTTTATAAGTCATAACTATGTTATAGGACAGAATTTCTCAAACAAAAAAAAAATGTTACTGGTATAGGACAGAAGAAGTAATTTGAATATAAAACTATGTCGTAGGTCTTGTTTTGAATCGGATTAGACTTCTTAATACAACATTTTTGCAACTATATCTCACTTATACTAGTAATGAACTTAAAAACAATTATGCATGCTATGGACAGCATGATAAACTTAAAAACAGTTAGTCAATGAGAATTAAACATATTAACGCTCAAAATTGTGCATCGACAAGCATACAAGTTAACATGGTGCAATGAGGAAGCACATATTCATAATATAATGCATAGACGATTAGTGAATCAGATTCTTCTATGCCAGATTGCCTTTACAACATTCTTGCAATATAACCTCATAGTTTTTGTTATACTCTTTTAATCTGGTAGAGGAAACTTTATTAAATTACCATCATATAAAATTTGTAATAGTGAAGTATTTTACAAGCATGTTAAATAAGGTCAATAGTTACAATAGGGTAATGTTTCTCACCAATTTGGGAATATATGCGCTACTTGTAAAGTTGTAAGAAGTAAGGACAATGACATATATAAAGAAAGCTAGTAAGCTAGCTCTAAAAATATAATTTATACGTAAAATATGCATGGGTGATTATTTCTGTTGGTACAAATAGAAAGTGGAAGAAACTTCTGTTACAAAATACACAATTTTAATGAAGATTAAAAATAAAAGGAAGAATTAATTAATATTGTTACTTAACAAAATTGGTAGGTCCAAGAATTAATTGACAAATGGGTGAGCCTAAAAATATTTTCTCCAATAAAAGCATCATATTCTAAGATGAAGCTTCAAGGAAAATAGAGAAATTGATTGGATTAAGATGGCATCAAATTATATATACACCAATGACAATATCTCACATCAAAAGTAAGAAAAAGAGGGCATTTAGCTAGCTAGAGTGCGCAATGGAATAGGTATAAATATGACTTACAAGGCCAGGTATACACCTTTGAATATTGCTATCATTTCACCATCAACTTTACTTTTATCTCTTTTCTAGTCTTGTTTCCAAATGCTATAACTTGAGTAAAACAAAAGCAAATGACAAACGTGATTAAACTAGATATAATTTAGGGTATGGATAATTTAAAGATGACTTTTATCATTGCACTAAATTTGCAACTCTACACCCATTTATATCTACTCTTTGCATGCTCTTGTATCTTTGTGAGTATACAAAAAAAAGAACTTGAGAATTGAGAAGTTATAAATTACACTCATTTAGATATAGAGAGAAGGGGAGTGGCGAAAGTTGGAACTAGTTTCCTTTCATAATCACCCTTTTATTAAGAAAATTGAGGTTCAACCTTCTCCCAATTCTATCCTCATTTTATCGCTCGTATTTACCTATCCAGTCAAAAGATTATAATTTTATTTACATAATTAGTTAATTTAAACTCTTTTCATTATTATTTTTTTTTTGACACAAAGCACCCACGGTGAAATATTATTAAAACTCTTTTCATTATCAAAACCTTATGATTCAATCAATATTATTGAAAAACTAATCATATCGTCTGATCCATAATTTTTTTTAAGAAAAAAAAGGAGCGGGCAATAGCACATCACATATATATTGGTATTTATCCTTTAAAAGGATTATTATATTCACATAGTTGCAACCATATTGGAGACAAGAGAATCTATGGTTAATAAGTTCATAAATTGCATCATATATATTTTCATACATCTTCTTGGCCTCCTTTTTTCTATTAATCCACTATCAAATGTCAAACCTAAGCAGATACATATTATATGTAAAATATATGCCATCACTGTTAATAAAAAAAGATACGGTACTTAAGCAAATTCCATATGTTATTTTAATTTGTCTTAGGCTTATCCATTGTTTATTTATAAGAATATTTCTATATATTCCATATTCATTTCACTTGATCATATGAAATGACTTCATACTAAGCTTCAAGATAATGATGATGGAATAATTGCCAAACCTTCTTTTAGGAGTATCCAAATGACATAATTAATCTATGTTGTATAGATTTAAACTCCAAATCGAACCTTTTTTTGTATTGTCTAATCAAGGATTAAAACTAATAAAGTTATAAATGCTTCATATGTAATCTGATTAAGGTATAGTTATTTTTATATCTATGTTATCCAATTCTATTAGAGTCAATTAAACTATCAAATGATGGTTGAATTTGGTGCTCACGGGCCCCTAGTGCTGATTAATCCTTCAATCAATTATTATAACAAAAACTTTAATTTCATATTATACATATGGCCCCAGTAAAATTAAAGTAAAAGAGATATGATTATGTGAAATAGCAAAATTAATCAATATATAAGCTTAGGTCACATATCACTACCTGAAATAAAGTAGACTAAAAATATGTAGCACTAGCTTCGCTAGCACATCGTTTATTCACGATGGTATCTTGCTCAATAATATGGAATATACTTAGATTTCGACTAATCTGAATTCAACTAGGCTTAATTTTAGAAATTCAATTCGACTAGTACATGTTATTATGTTGTGTTTTTAGATTTAGAACATGTTATTAAGTCAGAATAACTTTCTTACCAGTTGATCTCATTTATATTTTATATGCTATAAATAACTAATGTTAGGACGTGTAAAAAGCATATAGTTTTTGTCATGATGTGCATTGAAATTGCACTAAAGGGGGAGAACAAATTGTTGTTGTTACTTTACCCACCATTCTCTTCTTTATACATCTTCTTTGCAGGTTAATGAGAATGTATTGGATGATATCATCTTTGTTAATTTGCCCCCCAAAATAGTATTTGAGTGCGTTTCCACTATAACGTTTGAAATAGACTCGTGGGGAAGTTGATCAATCAAAGTTATAATATTGGAATCCGGATAAGATTTGCACCTAGTGTATGCTATACCTTCAATATTTAAAAAGTATCTATGGATAATAGTTTGATTTTTGACATTATTTACAAATTTCATTACTAATTACTACGTAGTAATTTATATTTACAAAGATACATATACGTTTGTATGTATGAGGCTTGGTTAAATTTGTCTTAGCACTCACCCACATGCGTTTTCTGAACATCAACTTTTTATAATTATAAATTTATAATATACATAAGTACACAATAAAGATAAAAATAATCAAAGTTTTACTTTAACAAGCATGAACAAGTAAGTATTAAAAAATTTTAGATGGGTATGAAATTCCTAATATCTTCCTAGCTATACTATGGAGTAATTAAAAAATATATATATTTATGAGTATAATAATCTTTCATTCTTTCTCATTAAAGTGTTATTGCCCTGATTGGTACATCATGTACCTATATATATATTTATCAACACATTTTATGATGAGGCCCATTGTATATAATTAGTGGCGAATATGAAACTAATTGTCCCTTTAAGTAGTCATTAACAAACAAAATATAATACGAAGGAATTTAATATAATTATCTTACCATATAAGTGCATATTAGTTGTTAGGTTAGCATTTTTATCGAATTAAAAATTATGTGATTACTTTTGTTAAACTTGGCATATACCACTATTCTTTAGAAACTTCTGCAGAATGAAACACGTACTTAATATTTAATTTGCTAAAGATAGCAAATCATCTTGTGACATTCATGTAATCACTAATCACTATTTATGTGGTGAAATGATGAAACAAAAAAAGATATAGGAATCAGTTCATGTGGCCAAGTTTCATACATTTAGTAACAGAATAAATTAAAGTTACTTGATAGTAGTACTGTAATTAAAGCATGTTAAGTACACCTTTTGAAGCTTAATCAATTGGTTTGAAAAGTAACTAATAAGATATCGATCTATTGCTAGAAGTATGTATTGTATACACATTATCTTCATATTGTGGATGTCAATCAATGCATGGAAACTTTAGAATTTTATATATAAGAGACATAGTTTCTAATAGTTATAAAGTCATATATATATATATATATATATATATATATATATATATATATATATATTTCGGCCTAAGAGAATGAAATAAACCCGATTTAGGCTCTTAGTTTATTGGAGGGTTACTAACCAATTTAATCCCGTACATACCAATGAGAGGAAGGGGATTAACATGGACCTCATGGTTAATTACTATTTATATTCTATACAATTAGACTAAACTTGTAATAATTGTTAATTATCATACATATGCATCTGAATTGGTATGATCTGATCATTATTTTATGTGCTATCAATATATCTTGATATATAATAATTTACTTTAAGCATCCTCGTTTATGAATAATTATTTTGCTAATTTAATTTAATTATAGGAAATTTTAGTTTAAGTTTGTTTGTAAAATTATTAAAAAAAAATAATAACCAAAACAAAACAAGCTTGACATAGACGTTTAGTTTGTGAGGAAGGTAAGGATGATTGATATAGGTGGTGTGACATTATTGGTTGCACAATCATATGAATTACGTTGACATCACTAAGAAACAGAATAAAACATAAATGACGATAATGATCATGGTGATGAATGTATTTATTGGCCATATCATATGGGCTATTCCACTTTGCAGATAAAAAGTTGTCATTAACGATCACACTGTTATGTGCTAACTAAATTTGAGATA